TGGACGCTGATCAGTTTAAAAATCCAGCAATTCCTTGGTGGAATTGGCTAAAAACACAGCCATATTCTGGCATAAGATATGGAAAGACAACAACTGTCCTAAATCAGGATATNTGGCATGTATCAGAAGAGTAACCCGGGCTATAAAATGGTTTGTGATACAGATGAGGTACTTATATCCGAGATTTGATTTCATAATAACTATCAGGACTAGAACCAATTAAATCAAATAATAGAATATTCATGCACATCTTAAAATTGTATATAAATTGTATTGAACATGTATTTTTTCTTTCTAATTGTACCATATTTTGTGAACGAATAAATTATTATTATTATAATTTCACAGCAACTTCTCCTTTATATCCTTTTGAAACTTCTCCTTTATAACCTTTTGAAACTTCTCCTATATAACCTTTTGAAACTTCTCCTATATAACCTTTTGCAGCAACTTCTCCTTTATAACCTTTTTGAAACTTCTCCTTTATAACCTTTTGAAACTCCTCCTATATAACCTTTTGCTGCAACTTCTCCTTTATAACCTTTTGCTGCAACTTCTCCTTTATAACCTTTTGCATCAACTTCTCCTTTATAACCTTTTGCATCAACTTCTCCTATATCACCTTTTGCAGCAACTTCTCCTCTATAACCTTTTGCTGCAACTTCTCCTTTATAACCTTTTGCATCAACTTCTCCTATATCACCTTTTGCAGCAACTTCTCCTTTATAATCTTTTGCAGCTACTTCTCCTTTATAACCTTTTGCAGCAACTTCTCCTTTATAACCTTTTGCAGCAACTTCTCCTTTATAACCTTTTGCATCAACTTCTCCTTTATAACCTTTTGCATCAACTTCTCCTATATCACCTTTTGCAGCAACTTCTCCTCTATAACCTTTTGCAGCAACTTCGTCTTTATAACCTTTCGAACCTTCTCCTTTATAACCTTTTGAAACCTCTCCTATATAACCTTTTGCAGCAACTTCTCCTTTATAGCCTTTTACAGCAACTTCTCCTTTATAACCTTTTGCATTAACTTCTCCTTTATAACCTTTTGCATCAACTTCTCCTATGTCACCTTTTGCAGCAACTTCTCCTTTATAACCTTTTGCATCAACTTCTCCTATATCACCTTTTGCAGCAACTTCTCCTTTATAACCTTTTGCAACAACTTCTCCTTTATAACCTTTTGCAGCAACTTCTCCTTTATAACCTTTTGCAGCAACTTCTCCTTTATAACCTTTTGCAGCAACTTCTCCTTTATAACCTTTTGCAGCAACTTCTCCTATATAACCTTTTGCAGCAACTTCTCCTTTATAACCTTTTGCAGCAACTTCTCCTTTATAACCTTTTGCAGCAACTTCGCCTTTATAACTTTTTGCAGCAACTTCGCCTTTATAACCTTTTGCAGCAGCTTCTCCTTTACAACCTTTTGCAGCAAGTTCGCCTTTATAACCTTTTGCAGCAACTTCGCCTTAATAACCTTTTGCAGCAACTTCGCCTTAATAACCTTTTGCTGCAACTTCGCCTTTATAACCTTTTGCAGCAACTTCTCCTATATAACCTTTTGCTGCAACTCCGCCTTTATAACCTTTTGCAGCAACTTCGCCTTAATAACCTTTTGCAGCAACTTCTCCTATATAACCTTTTGCAGCAACTTCGCCTTTATAACCTTTTGCAGCAACTTCGCCTTTATAACCTTTTGCAGCAACTTCGCCTTAATAACCTTTTGCAGCAACTTCGCCTTAATAACCTTTCGCTGCAACTTCGCCTTTATATCCTTTTGCAGAAACTTCTCCTTTATAACCTTTTGCAGCAACTTCTCCTCTATAACCTTTTGAAACCTCTCCTTTATAACCCTTTGCAGCAACTTCTCCTCTATAACCTTTTGCAGCAACTTCTTCTATATCTTTTGCAAATTCTCCTTTTGCATCAACCTCTCCTTTATCACCTTTTTCATCAACTTCTCCTATATCACCTTTTGCATCAACTTCTCCTCTATAACCTTTTGGACCAGTAAGACCAATATTTGGACCTGAAAAGGTACACACAAAAAATATCAAACAAAAATTTTGCGTTTGTTTGGCTGATATTCGAATTTTAAGAGTTTTCCGCTAAACCTCTTCCGGTTGTTATCTGGTTTCTGGAAATATATTTAAAATGCAATTCGGCGGGTTGAAATGTCTTGCGCAGTGCCAACAGTTCGTCCTGGTTACTCGACCTGATTCGTTGCATTTTAAAGTCATAGTGGGATTTCTTACCGAAAAGAAAAGCATGTGAACATTTGGTAATAAAAAGTCTATGAACCATTAAATGTTCGGTAATGAAATTGAATATATCTCGTCAATTACAATAACTTAAAATTCATCCACTAGCGAAACGCTAATTATTACGGTTGTAAATAAGTTCGGTATAGGAAATGTGAATCTAACCCGGATGTGTGGCCCACATAAAAAAATTAATTATGTCCATGTGTACAATTATGTTCAAAATTTCAAGCGTCTACAATTGTTAGATCATGACATATTCTTTGTTTTAAATTACAGGCTTGAGTTTAAACGACAAAAACCAAATACGCAGTTACTATAGAAGTCGTTTCAATATTTTCAATTTATAAAAACCGCAATTTTGATCAAAATATAAAGTGTTTTATAAACTTTGAAGGAATAGATTACGTGTAATAAGGACAAAAGAGAAATTTTGACATTTTGTATTAGGCCACGTGACAGAGCTCAGATGTTCAGTTGGCTGCAGAACCAGGAGTTAACATAACACAATAAAAATGGAGACATATTTGGATAGATCTCGTCAAGGGCAACAACTTTTATGCATGTCAAAGGTCACTAAAGGTCAAGACCAATATTGGACAAAATCAACCGGAAATAATTAAAAAGCATAATCTAAATTCAAACAATCTTCTCTCAGATGTTGTAAGCAATCGATTACTGATGGCACAGATAAAAAATCACGAGAATCGAATTATCTCCTGATCCTAAAAATGGTTTAAAGAAAAGTTGGTCATTTCAAGATGGCGGCTGATCCGATACTTCCAGGACCAAATATATTATTTCAAATCTTTTAATTGAACAATTCTAACATATTGCCAATTTCAAGTTTACAAGCGAATGACGTCAAAATGACGTGAAATGAAAATTTAAAAAAAATAATTTGTTGTGCGTTCACGGTAAATTGCACAAAAACGCACGGCAATAGAAAATTAACCAAAGCAATACAGCTTCGAGCTCAACTCTTATTACAATGTAATCTTTTTAATATTTTGTTCATAATCAATTTACATTATCTATAATACGGAAATGAATTTGTGAAATATGCAGACGAACTGTAGGTAATATGATTAAAAATGTTGAATAACACAGTCTTGGTTACATAAAGAATACCGGCATGGCAAGGAAGTATTCTTTTACTGATGCCGATTTGCAATTAACTCCTAGATCATTCCATAAACATCGGACCCTTGTATTTAATACTTTGTTTAATCATACTGATTTATACTCGTTTTTACTCAGGGTTTGTTTTTAGTTAAAGAAGTTTTAGGCAGGAAGGGGACATGTTGTTCAGAGTTTTATAAATAGATTTACACACCTCGACGTAACAAGTCAGATTTTTAACAGGCTTTAATATTTCAACTTAGCCGTCAAATCAGATGCCAATATATTATTTATTGACTGCATGTACACTAACTTCTTCAAAAAACAGAAATGTATGATTTTACCCAGACAAAGATTACACTAAACCTCTTGGTCTGTATTTAATCAGAATGAAAATTGATTGGATTATACAAAGTTATATTATTTATATATATTATATATATTTATTATTAACATCCCCCTCCTCCCCTCTCATTCTAGTACTGATAAGAGTTTTGGTTTAATGTAGATAAATTATTGTTCTAACTTACCGGGTTGTTCCAACAACCTTCTCATATTATTAGTTTGTCGTAAAGGATTGGCCATTATTAAAGATCCAGTCCATAACATGACCACTACCAACATCATTTTAACATTAAACATCATATTATTGTTAATCTTGATCTGTGAATACGACTTTGTGTTAATGTATATATAGAAGAATAGAGAAAGCGTAGGTTGATTTTCCACATCGATCAGTAAGTTTTGAAACTGTCGACGGCACGGGCTTTTGTTAATTGATATTCATTCCTACGCAATGAGTGTTTACAGTGGTGTAACCTATTTTCGTGGATATAAGGATTCAACACGCTGTCTGTCAGTATGTCCATTTACATTTGGCCTGAGAACACTAGTCTATATTAGTAACCCTAATTGGTTTAACGATGAGGACTAAACGAACGTGCAACTTCCTTGAATAATGATAACGCCGCCATAATGATCACTACTTAATGTAATAGAACGCATACATAACGCCCCATATCCCCTCATAAGTTGTACGTTTTAGTCCCAAATATATATATTTATAACGTAATTAGTAGTATTTACTGTATGGTCAAACGTTGTCCTAACGTATTAAGCATGGAAGTAACGTATTTGTCGTAGCGTGTAGACCATGGTCTCTGTAATTTGCACGTAATTTGTCGCAATATAAGCTTTATTATAAACCAAAGGTATATATATATATTTACGTTTATGTTTAAGCAATATCTCATGAACGTTTATTGTATTTTCAGCTAAACCGTGTACGTGTATGTGTTCGTATATGTTTCGTATAACATATTGTGGTATCAAGGCAGTATTTGTTATTTGTCAACATCCTATTTAACTTTGTTATACGTGTATGGAACTAAAGGGAATAAATAATAAACATTATAATTATTAACGGTTTTATATATGGCTAATGGATTAAAATGGGTAACGTTCCCCGAGTAAAGTGGGCGTTGCTTGTAGCAGCAGTGGTTTTGAGCTACCCAATCATGTTAGGAAAACTATGAAACGACATGAGCAGAAATGCAATATATGTTTATTTGGAATCATCCCCAAAAACTTTTAAAGGTGCCTCTTTTCTGAGCTGATACTCACCATCCATAATCTGATTCTCTTTCGGCTAATGTTCAATCAATTTGTATCAAGATTTAAATGATTATTTTCACCAACCAATCGAAGATTGTAAGTAATGATTTTCTCTGAAAAATACGAGTTACTGTCACAAGTGAACTGAAGATACAATCCTATGATGGTATTCCTCCGTGGAGAATCACGAAACAAAAATATTTATTTCTGTAATTGAATTAGATTTGTACAGGTGGGTTTATTTACAAGAATATTTCAGAATAGCTTACGTTTCTTTTTTTATTTAAACATATTGCATGTAGGATGTGTCATTTTACTTTATTGTCAGATATAGATTATTGTAAATAGAAAGAAGAAATCATAATCAATAAAATTAAACTCAACATGTGCATATAAAATATAAAATGACGAATTCTTGATATACTGATAAATAGTTTCTAAAATAAAATTTCCTCCATCATTGAAACTGTTGGTTTAAAACACAGCTGGGAATAAAGACAGTCTGTCAAGTCAGGTGGGGTTTACTCTCACTACAGAAATTATACTTAACAAACTTCTACCTTCGTTCAAATATCAGAAAAGTAGGACGTAAAACTCCATTCATTACATTTCATTTCCTTCGTTCAAATAGATATCTCACCAGTTCCGTTAAAACGTCAACTGAATTTGGAGGTTTTCACGAAGTGTAGGGCAATAAGTTAATTTCTGTGGGACTTTGCTTCTGCCAAGTCCCAGTTTGTTACCGTAATGTCCCTTCGTTTTTTTCGAAATTTACACACCTTCCTGAGCCTAGACTGCAGTAGTTGCAGCAACCATTCAACTTCTCTAGACCTTCTGTAGTGGCAACGTGTTCCTTAAATATATATTGGAACATTTTTGAAAAACCGGAAGTGCCACAGTTCAACATGTGCAATAAGTTGAATATCGGCTCTAAAAGGCACATTTTTTGCGTCGATTTTCTGCGGATTTTCATTTTTAGAATGTGTCTGTAATTTCTGATCTGATAGCAGTTGCAGAATTACGAAATTCGAAAATTGGTCGCTCACCCTTTTCGATCAAATTTTGCAATTTTTTGCAACTTTTTTGTTTTTGCATCGATTGATCTGAAATTTAAAATGCAAAGAGACATCAATAAAGTAAATAACATGTAACTGTCAAATATTTAAATCACTTTGACATTTGACCTCCGACATGTACTTCCGGTTTTATAGCTGTCCGAAAACAGCCAAATTCGCAACTTTGGACTGCTCTAGCACGTGACCTAATTAACTTAGAGGATTAATTTTTTCGGTTTCCTAATGTGCTTCTCATGCACTTTACATTGATATATATAAATTGTTTTTTTCAAAAAGCAAAATTGAAATTCTTTTTCAAATTTGAGTTTTTTTTTTTTAAATATTTGTGTCTCTTTGAGCTTGGTGTATGTATATCTTATAGACCTATTTGACGTAGAATTTGGATTACAACTAGACACTTTGTAAAAAAAAAATGTGGGCGTGGCACATCCGGGTTGAATTACTAATTGTTAACATTTAGGGGCAGGGGCATAAATCGCATAGGATACGTTTGTTCAAACAGGGATTTTGCACACAATTACCTCATGCTTTTGGCCAGTTTGTGTTAACAGCTCAGTTGTTTCAGCTTTATAGTTCGAAGAAAGGAACGGGTTTTAACATTTGGATATTTTCATTTTTCAATTTTGACCTTTTTGACTTTTGTTGACCTATATCTTTTGACCTGTATGATGTAGAATCTTGAAATTTGATACACGGCATAACATTTTAAATATCAATTAAGTTATGTCAAATGAATGAAATGGGCGTGGCACATCCGGGTTAAATTACTCATTATTGACATTTTTGGCCAGAGGCATAATTCGCAAAGAATACATTAGTTAAAAATGGAACTTTGAAAACAATTACTTCATGTTTTGAGCCACTTTGTCGTAGAAGGTCAGTTGTGTCAGCTTCATAATTCTAAAAAAGGTTGACCTTAACCTTTGTAGGATTAAATGTCATTGGCATTGGCTATCTAATTATACTTTTCTATTTGCTGTCCTATGTCAACTTCTGGTTTTATAGCCGTGTGCAATTCGAAATTTTGATGACTTATATCTCTTGATCTTGACCATTGTAGACCTTCTCCTTTAAAATTTCAAAGGTCATTGACCTTGGCTATCTGCTGATACTTTCATTTGTGAAGCCTGGCGTCTACTTCCGGTATTAGAATCTTCTTAAAACTTTAGACTGTTCTTGCACTTGACCTAATTATCGTCGAAGGTTGATTTTTTCAGGGTCTTTAGCGTATTGCTACATTTGGAAAGTCACACTCTGTGCCACGTGTGGCTCTAGTTATAATTATTGTCAGTTTCCAACTCGTTAAATTCAGATAATTAAATTAAAAATATGTTTTATTGAGAGATTAATTCAGGTTTAATTCACCTCGTACCACACTGAGAATCAGTTAGTTTGGTTGTATCCTGTCCCAAGTTGATTAACAACAACCCAAGGTTAATAATTAGACTATATGATATGTACAAAACCATGACAAGACTTGAAGGTGTTAACAGGGCAGTAATCTCATGTTTGAAATTGATATATTGTAATCCCCTGTCTATCGACTCTTGACCAACACACTAAGATTAAACATATTATTTTACATCAATTCATTGCAAAGTCATTTAATTTCTTGTCGTAATCTCTGGACATGACCGGGTTTTCTTGTTTCATCTAAAGATACATTTTGTTCTGGTAAATCTACAGTAGGTTGATCCATGCTATCAGCTGGAGTCGACAGTACACTTGATATATATAGGGATTAGGTGGACTGACAAGATAAAGATTTTCGAAATTGATGATCTGATAATTTTTCCCTGAAATATCGTGTGTCACTCTATTAGCTATATTGTCCAACTCGTACTCACTCTACAGGCAACAATTCTTTATGGATTCTTTTGATATTTATATGCTTCACATGTAGTATGGAATTACATTGTTTTCACGCTGTCTGTCAGTATGTCCATTTACATTTGGCCTGAGAACACTAGTCTATATTAGTAACCCTAATTGGTTTAACGATGAGGACTAAACGAACGTGCAACTTCCTTGAATAATGATAACGCCGCCATAATGATCACTACTTAATGTAATAGAACGCATACATAACGCCCCATATCCCCTCATAAGTTGTAAGTTTTAGTCCCAAATATATATATTTATAACGTAATTAGTTGTATTTACTGTATGGTCAACCGTTGTCCTAACGTATTAAGCATGGAAGTAACGTATTTGTCGTAGCGTGTAGACCATGGTCTCTGTAATTTGCACGTAATTTGTCGCAATGTAAGCTTTATTATAAACCAAAGGTATTGATATATATTTACGTTTATGTTTAAGCAATATCTCATGAACGTTTATTGTATTTTCAGCTAAACCGTGTACGTGTATGTGTTCGTATATGTTTCGTATAACATATTGTGGTATCAAGGCAGTATTTGTTATTTGTCAACATCCTATTTAACTTTGTTATACTTGTATGGAACTAAAGGGAATAAATAATAAACATTATAATTATTAACGGTTTTATATATGGCTAATGGATTAAGATGGGTAACGTTCCCCGAGTAAAGTGGGCGTTGCTTGTAGCAGCAGTGGTTTTGAGCTACCCAATCATGTTAGGAAAACTATGAAACGACATGAGCAGAAATGTAATATATGTTTATTTGGAATCATCCCCAAAAACTTTTAAAGGTGCTCCAGAATCTAAAATGCAATTATTTATTTATCGTGTAGACGATAGAAGACCAAAATATCTCATTATTTCAAAGACAATAGTTTTACTGTTTATGAACTCGTCTGTATATCGAATCCTATGTCTAAATTTAAATATTTCAAATTATCTGTGCCTTTGTCAGAATTCAAGTGGTTGCTTAATGAGACGCTATTGCAAACGGCGTTATTGTTCGTAAATTTGTCCCTCCAAAAATGGACAACCAATAAATTATTATTCTCAACATGACTAATTTATCCTTAGCAACGTATACTTCTCATGGACATGGTACTGGTGAGAAAAAGTAATTTTAAAAACTGTGTATGATTTTGTGTTTTTGCAAGATATAGAGAAATATTTTGACGATTATTCCTAGTTACTCTGGATTCTGATCAGTTTAAAAATCCAGCATATGGAATGACAAAAACTGTCCTAAATCAGGCTATTTGGCATGTACCAGAAGACTAACACGGGCTATAAAGTGGTTTGTGATACAAAGCTTAGTACTTATTTCCCAGATTTTATTTCATAATAACTATCAGAACTAGATCCCCAAATATGACATAATAGAATATTCATGCACATCTTAAAATTGTATATAAATTGTATTGAACGTGTATATTTTCTTTCTAATTGTACCATATTTTGTGTACGAATAAAATATTATTATTATAATTTTGCAGCAACTTCTTCTTAATCACCTTTTACGTCAACTTCTCCTTTATCACCTTTTACATCAACTTCTCCTTTATCACCTTTTACATCAACTTCTCCTTTTTCACCTTTTACATCAACTTCTCCTTTATCACCTTTTGCATCAATTTCTCCTTTATCACCTTTTACATCAACCTCTCCTTTATCAACTTTTACATCAACCTCTCCTTTATCACCTTTTACATCAACTTCTCCTTTATCACCTTTTGCATCAACTTCTCCTTTATCACCTTTTACATCAACTTCTCCTTTATCACCTTTTGCATCAACTTCTCCTTTATCACCTTTTACATCATCTTCTCCTTTATCACCTTTTGCATCAACTTCTCCTTTATAACCTTTTGCATCAACTTCTCCTTTATCACCTTTTGCATCAACTTCTCCTTTATCACCTTTTACATCAACTTCTCCTTTATCACCTTTTACATCAACTTCTCCTTTATCACCTTTTACATCAACTTCTCCTTTATCACCTTTTACATCAACTTCTCCTTTATCACCTTTCGCATCAATTTCTCCTTTATCACCTTTTACATCAACTTCTCCTTTATCACCTTTTACATCAACTTCCCCTTTATCACCTTTCGCATCAATTTCTCCTTTATCACCTTTTACATCAACTTCTCCTTTATCACCTTTTACATCAATTTCTCCTTTATCACCTTTTGCATCAACTTCTCCTTTTGAACCAGTAAGACCAATATCTGGACCTGAAAAAGTACACACAAATATCAAACAAAAATGTTGCTTTTGTTTGGCTGATATTCGAATTTTAAGAGTTTTCGCTACGCCACTTCCAGTTGTTATCTGGTTTCTGGAAATATATTTAAAATGCCATTCGACGGGTTGAAATATCTTACGCATTGTCAACGGTTCGTCCTGGGTACTCAGACAACAATTGCAAACTAGAACCGTGGTTGTACCGATCCAGTGCGTACCCGACCTGAAACGTTGCATTTTAAAGTCACAGTGGGATTTCCTCCCGAAAAGAAAAGCATGTGAACATTTGGTAGTAAAAAGTCGATGAATCATTAAATGTTCGGTAATGAAAAAGACGCATGTATTTGATAACATTTGGTAGTAGAAAGTGTTATTTTCGGTTGTAAAAAGGCGAATTTATAATCGCTGTAAACCTGAAATAACCTTTGCACACCAAAAATTAAGATATGATTGAATATATCTCGTCAATTACAATAACTTTTGTTCTGATCAAATAAAAGGGATATGAGCCTTAAAAGTTTTGAAAATTGTTGTTTTCAGACTTCTGTAAAAGTATATGTCGGACATCAATGACCTTTGACCTTGCAAAGTTTAAGGTATTCCATGTTAAAGGTTAATTAATAAACTTTTGATGCAAAGTTTAAAGGTTAACAAAATTTCAATTATGTTAGGTAAATGTGAACATAACCCGAACATTATGTTTTGCCCGTTATCATGTATATAATGTTACGTTATGTTCAAAATCTAAAGCGTGTACAACTATTAGATCATGAGATATTCGTTGTTTTACATTACAGACTTGAGTTTATACAGCAAAAACCAAATTAGGTACGGTTACAATACACAATTTTCAAATTTTACAGAGCGCAATTTTGATCAAAATACCAATTGTCATTTGGAAAAATAGATTTGAATTAGACCACGTGACAACTCTTCAAGGTAAATAATTGCGATTTTCAAATGGCCGTAGAAGTTAGAATTCCACATAAAAATTGAAGAAATCTTTGGATAGATCTCGTCAAGGGCAACAACTTTTATGCAGGTCAAAGGTCACTAAGGGTCAAGACCACGAGATATGAACCTTGTACAAAACGTACAGAATATTGGACAAAATCAACTGGAAACTAGAGCTGTGAACAGCACTGAGCGTGGCCCGTGATCCTTTTCCTGATAGCTGTAAAACTTTTTTGAACTTCAAACCCTCTCAAGCCCGGTGTTGACTCGACCACTTTTAGTAAAGAGCCAAGCTAAATGAAATGTTTTGTGAAAGGATAAATTCAATCTTGTATCAATATAACTTATCGTATGGTTTTTTTAATAGCTTCATGGTAGCTTTAATATACAGGTATGTGTGAAATGTGAACATTATGTGACGGAATTTCTTTACTGATATAAACATGATCCATAAGTGTCCCACCTTCAGTAGTGTAATGATGAACAAGTTGTTGAAAACCAAATTTTTGAAAACAATTTAGTATAGACAAATGACCCTCCAAGATATTTTGGTTGAAATTCTCCATAATAACATAGTCTGAACCAGATTCTTGTAATTCAACTAATAAACATTGGGAGAAATACATCTAATTGATAAACGGGTGGTCTATAGATAACAATTACATTAATATTTTTATCCAAAATATTCAAAGGAATGTGTTCTATATTTAAAACTCCCAATTTTAAAATGTTGACATTTTTGTTTGCCTATAATATACTCCTACTCCTCCGTGCCCCTTTTCTTTCCAAATTTGAAATCTCTAGTGTCATCATAGCTGTTTGCTTTTATTCCCTCAGCCTAACTAACACCAATAACCAAAACTGTTGTGTGTATCTTGCAGATAGCGTTCTGTTTATGGTACAGAAAAAAATGTATCAAAAATTCACTACTCTATATGAGTGTATGTTAAATTATTGTAAGTGAAAATTGAAAAAAGAAAGTTATTTTTTTAAGTGTTAAAAGATTATATAATCAGATTAATCTGTTATGAGCCAAACTACTTCACACCTGCATGTCAAAAGTTCATATGGATAGCTTTCCTATCATATTATATAAACTGTTATAACACCTGTCAATCATTTTAATCCCCACAATCTACAGATTTTTATCACATTTTTTATAAACATTTAACACTTTTATGCCTATTTTCACAAATTCAATTTTGTATTAAACCACACATATCGTTGAAAAGAGAAAATTGAGTAGATCCAGAATATACAAACCATATTGCTAGGAGTTAATTACATTGTAAGTTAGAAACCTCAGTCAAAAAAAAACCCAATATATTTAAAACATCTTTTAATGGATTATTGTCATATATCATTGAAAAGATAATCAAAAGGGAATTACAAAATTGAAAAAAATAATTTTCTGTTTTTATTAGAAAAGGTCATACAGTCGTCCAAAGTTGTCATGGCTATTAAACCGGAAGTTAATATTTGTCAACCAATATGAGTACTCCTGTGGATAGCTGAGGTCAAGAACATCCTACAGTGAAATTTTCAAGGTCAAGGTCACATGGTGTGGCCTTTTGAATTGTCAAAAAATTCAAACGAATATAAAAAAAATTCAAATTCGAAATGCAAAATTCTGTTTCATCAAACTGTAGACAAGGTTTTAATAGACACCAAAATCATAAAAATCGGATAAAAAATTTAGGACTAATTAATTTTTTGCTAAAATGTGTCAGTCCGAGGTGACGGCTTATGCATTACTTCCGGTTTGGATTTTTTCTGCTAAGTGCATTCTAATTATGTCTAACAGACAATATTTATGGTGTTTGGTAACATCTGAAATTTACACCAGAAGTGGGGTGCCAGGAGTGATTTAAAAAAACCAGAAGTTCTCACGCAAAAACCGGAAGTGATAGAAAAATTTATTTGTATGGACATTCTGTATATGTCCTGTGAATTTCAGATCAATCGGATAATTAGCGACTGAGTTAGAAATTTTGAGCTTTTTTGAAAAATTTTTGATTCAAATTGTTTTGACAAAAATATTTAAAAAATTGAATTTTTTTAGCCTCACCAGATACGTCTTATAACAATGAACATATTAAAGAAAATTTCAGGTAAATCGGTTCATAAATAAGCCCTACAGACTTGACACAAAATAAATATTTGCACATTATACAATGGCACACTTCCGGTTCAGCAAAAATTGAGTTTTAGATATTCATTTTTGATTCCAGGCCATTTAAAAATGTTTGGTGAAGACAATTATGTTATACCATTTTCGATTTTGTCTAGGGACGTTCCCAACAACAACTAAAAAAAAAAAATAAAAAAAAAAAATAAACATAACGAAAGCAATGCGTGACAAATCTAATTTGCCACGCAGTAACTAAAAAGCATAATCTAAATTCAAACAATCTTCTCTCAGATGTTGTAAGCAATCGATTACTGATGGTACAGACAATAAAATCACGAGAATCGAATTATCTCCTGATCCTAAAAATGGTTTAAAGAAAAGTTGGTCATTTCAAGATGGCGGCTGATCCGATACTTCCAGGACCAAATATATTATTTCAAATCTTTTAATTGAACAATTCTAACATATGGCCAATTTCAAATTGTCAAGTGAATGACGTCAAAACAGAAAGGGAAATGAAAAATTAAAAACAAAGAATTTTGTTGGCAATCAAAATGACTATTTGATATTTTCAGATCGATTGGAAAAACGTATAAATTAAAACTGAAAGTCTGCGACAAAATTTCAAATCTGAAATTTTGTAAAGTGCTATCTTATAACCATTAGTGCATAATAATAAACAAAACAAAAATAACGTTCAAAATAGATTCAGAATTAGACCGGTAAATCAAAAAAAGTAATGAATGGTTTACATGTACACAACAAGGAGCAACTGGGTATTACAGATGATCATGATTTCAGGCATGGATAGTTTTGACTGGTGGCGTTTCCAGAATTCGAAAAAAAACAATAGTCATTACGAAAACAAAGCAGTGCGTTCAAGGTAAATTGCACAAAAACGCACGGCAATAGAAAATTAACCATAGCAATACAGCTTCGAGCTCAACTCTTATAACCTTGTAATTTAATATTTCAATTTGAATCAATCAATTTCCATTATCTATAATACGGAAATGAACATTGTGAAATATGCAGACGAACTGTAGGTAATAAGATTAAAAATGTTGAATAACACAGTCTTGGTTACATAAAAAATACCGGCATGGCAAGGAAGTATTCTTGTACTGATGCCGATTTGCAATTAACTCCTAGATCATTCCATAAACATCGGACCCTTGTATTTAATACTTTGTTTAATCATACTGATTTATACTCGTTTTTACTCAGGGTTTGTTTTTAGTTAAAGAAGTTTTAGGCAGGAAGGGGACATGTTGTTCAGAGTTTTATAAATATATTTACACACCTCGACGTAACAAGTCAGATTTTTAACAGGCTTTAATATTTCAACTTAGCAGTCAAATCAGATGCCAATATATTATTTATTGACTGCACGTACACTAACTACTTCAAAAAACCGAAATGTATGATTTTAACCAGACAAAGATTACACTAAACCTCTTGGTCTGTATTTAATCAGAATGAAAATTGATTAGATTATATAAAGTTATATTATTTATATATATTATATGTATTTATTATTAACATCCCCCTCCTCCCCTCTCATTCTAGTGCTGATAAGAGTTTTGGTTTAATGTAGATAAATTATTGTTCTAACTTACCGGGTTGTTCCAACAACCTTCTCATATTATTAGTTTGTCGTAAAGGATTGGCCATTATTAAAGATCCAGTCCATAACATGACCACTACCAACATCATTTTAACACTAAACATTATATTATTGTTAATCTTGATCTGTGAATACGACTTTGTGTTAATGTATATATATAAGAACAGAGAAAGCGTAGGTTGATTTTCCACATCGATCAATAAGTTTTGAAACTGTCGACGGCACGGGCTTTTGTTAATTGATATTCATTCCTACGCAATGAGTGTTTACAGTGGTGTAACCTATTTTCGTGGATATAAGGATTCAACACCGAATTTCGTCCAAGTTAAAAAAACTTTTTTTTTATGTCTTAGATGTTTCCTCAGATATTCTACAAAATATTTAAAATTGGATTATTTTGATTTTCTTTATGAATCCTTCACTTTGACCCATATTTCATGAGTAACCAACTCGGCAACGGCGGCAGAATGTGTCACCTATTTTCCTGTACAATGTTTGATCTATAAATAAGTCTAGAAAAACACGTTGTATGGATACCGGGTGGTATAATTAATTTCTCTTAGTATTTATCTTTAATATCAATTCATTATAACTACTGACAATTCCTACAAAGAACCTCGATTTAAAAAAAAATAGTGACTGACAAAATAAGATGATTTGTTGCTAAAAGTCACTGAAACAACATAAGAATATGGTCCACTTTGTGTTCCATAGAAATTTTCTGCTGACACGGAATCCGCTAGTTGATCACGTGACTTTATTCGTTGGACTACATTCTAGCAGACGACACTTGGAATTCCGATTACCGCTTGGGATTGTAAGAAAATTCGGCCGATAAAAAATGGTGACGTTTGGTAATAAGTGAAATCCGCCATTTTGTATTTGTCAAAGTATACATTAATACATTTTACCTTGCTTGAAACTACTGAATTCATTCTACTAGCTGATATTGTACAGATAATTTGATATATTTATCAAAACAAGCAAATTCGGAGGTCACGTGAGGTCGCACATGTAAATTATTAATCATTTCCGGAAATCCACGAAAAATAGGTTACCACGAAATTAGGTTACTTGACTGTATATTATATATAAATTAAGAAAATAACACAAACATTTTATCTCCTGCACGTATTAGTAGAGAGACGTTGTTACTACGTTGTAACTATGTAATGTCTTCCTGAAGGTACCTAAATTATATATATATCACTGTGAATCAAAAACAACCTACTGTACTTATATATATTATATAATTTCTGTCATCTTGGCAATACCCAATGAAACTAGAGAACCGTTGACAGTACACAGGCAGTGTGTAACCGACCTGATACATCGTTGAAACGTTGCATTTTAAAGTCAGTGGGATTTTCTTACCGAAAAGAAAAGCATGTAAACATTCGGTAGTGAAAGTCGATAAACCTTTTAATTAAACAATTTTAACATATTGCAAAAACAATTTTTCAAATATCTTCAAAATTCTGGAAGTTGAAATTTCAAGTTTAGAAGCGAATAACGTCAAAACCGGAAGCGACATGAAAATTTTGAAAAGAGAATTATATTCGCAATCAAAATGTCTATTTACTTGTAAATTTTCAGCTCGGTAGAAATAAAATTATAGAAGTTAAAAAAAACCATAAATTAAAACAAAAAAAGTCAGCTATAAAAAATCAACATCTAATTTTTTCAAATTTGCTAATTAGTAATGATCATAGTAATGAACAAAACAAAACAAATATTACAATCAAAATTTGATTCAGAATTAAAGCAGTTGCTCTAAAAACAAAATGAGTATAATATATATTATTGACGATTATTTTTACCTTTAGGGGACATTTCACTACTTGAAAAATCAGAACGCATCCACCCCTCTCTCCCTCCTAAACCTTTTAGAGATTAGCCCGTAACTGTCTAACTAAGATATTGCGCTTTAAATCATTCTTCTATCTTATACACATCCAAATTTTCAATTTTTCTTTACTAACTACTGTAGTTCTGTTGATACTCAGCATCAAACGGTGTAAAATCTTATCTTATCAATAATGTTAAATGTGGGGATAGACATGGTACGGTGTCTACCTGATACAGTCCTCAAATGTTTTATCAGGCCTATTTATCGTATAATATAGAATATTTTAATATTATATAGTATAATATCTCAACTTCCTATTTTGGTATAGATTTGGAATTTGATGTATGAAATTGCATTTTCTTTCAGATTTTGTCAGATGATGAGGGAATTTGAAGCAGAAGGATAATTCTAAAAATAGTTGTTTTGTGTTCAGTGCCAGTTTAGCAGATGTTGATAAATTGTAGTGATCAGTTCCCTCCCTTTAATATTAAAATTGGAGAAATGTATTTTCAGCAATTATGTCCCTTGAACTTTATAAATTCATCGGTCAAGTCCCAATCTTTTGTTGTTGACGCTATACTATTTGTAGTGTGTGTTGTGTATGTTGAGCAGTTATGACGGGGGTGGCGCCTTTTTACGATTTACGTTCTCACATATGATATCGTACAAATTTGCGACCTGTAATCGCAACCTGCGAGGAAACGTAAGAAAATTGCTCTTTCTTGACAGTATCGGGTAGGACGGTCATCCATGAATTATTCCAAAGAAGGCAGTAGTTATTTAGTAAAAGGCGGACCTTGTACAGTTGTACAGTTGATATCTCAGCTCTCTACAACAATACCTTGAATAAACACCAGTGTTAGCCTGCATTAGGCTAGATGTGTCAGTAGTGATTACGTGGATTTGTCACCTGAGCCCGGCCATTACGTTGGCAACACAGTTAATAGTTTTGATTGAGTTGTCCACGCTGTTAGCCATAAGGTTGGTTTTACAATTTACTGACATCAGTGGGTTTCACTGTAAACCTTTGTTACATCTATAACTACATCTACCCTGACCCCAAGTGTTATTAAAACCATTAATAACACGACAAAACTGCATTATAATTTATTGACATTAAAACAATAGAAATACATATATAGATATTGAATATCCGTCATTAACAGAGATCGTTAAGAAGATCATCAAGTGCTTCCCGAATTTCATCAAACTTGTCTACAAATCTAGCTTTAGAAGGTTCGGAAGCTATTCTTTTCAGCTTAGCCTTATCGGCATGCGGGCCAATTCCTAAAGTGAAGATAACTGTCCCGATGCCTTCACTCCTACTCGCAATTTCCATACGATCACGATCAGATTTTACGGCAGCTAGGAGTATCATTACATCTTGGGACTTCAAGCCGAATTTGGCCAAAAGTATCCCGGGCTCCACGTTACCATTGTGTTGAAATAGAATATAATGATAAATCTGGCTTTATTAAACCTGTGTAAATGAGAAAACTGAACAATATATGTCTATAGTGAATATGTAACAAAGTTCAGCAAGAGTAGCGATGGTAATTGCTATCAAGAAGAGATAATAATTAGTAATAATGATTAACGTATATTCCAAAGGTAATTGCAGACATGGGACACGTAGTTGATTTACACAAGTTTATATAATTTGAAACTCCACTATAATATGTATTATGACAATACATATTTTCGCAATTGAGAAAAGGCATATACACTACCCACTAAGCGATTTGGTTTGTCAACTCGACATCCCTCTAGGTGAGACCATTGTTTATTTGTAATTGAAGTGTTAAAATTAATTGTCATACCTGTACAAATTGGTGTTTGATATATCCATTCTCCATCAATACATGATATACCTTGTACCATCTCAAAGCCTTTTTTACATTCCATCTCTACATTTCCACAGTCTGTATTGAGCTCAGAGTTAGTTATATTAGGATAAGTCAAGCAATCTGTAATTTAAATTTGTAATTATTTGTTTCCATTAGGTACTTCCGACTCGATGACTCGCAACACCTCGACAATTGGCTGTTTGTCTCAAAACTTACTTGTTATCTACATCTTAAGATATATGAGTATTTGTTTAGGTCAGTATACGTCGTGATAGTAACACAAATTGAAACGAAAGACATTGAGTAAACCGGAGTGCTTCTGACTCTTACACCAATTACAAAGCTAACTTAAACTACATCCAGATCTATAAAATTCGTCTTTAATTGCAAAGCAGAGTACAACTTTTATGTAATAAATAGGAATATTTACCGGCATCTATAAGAATCAGAGCTGTTACGGAGAATAACAATACGGAAAATAAGAGGTTATTCATGGTTCTTGCGTATATATCGAGACTGTTGAATGCTGAATTAGATTGCCATACAGGTCACAATGAGGGGAATTAGGATAGGACAGTGGCATTAGCTTGCTCGTTTTCGATTTCCAACTGTCGAGGGATCTTTAACGTGTCTGTGGCACACGGGGCACCGGTTTATTGTCCCATCTGAACGACTAGACGCTTTTCCTTTGTCAGATGCATCACTGACAGGGGGAAAACGGATTGAAAATCCGAAGTTATCTAGACGCGATTCCGGGGTTTCTGGTTAGGGAGCAAACGTCTAACGCAGCGGGCCACCGCGGCTGCCCCATAAATGAAAGGAAAGGAGTAAAACTATTCTTAATGGTGCGCTATACATTTTAAAACAGCTTTCACATAGCCATTTGATTCCAATATTTTGAATTCTATTTTCTTCATCGTTAAGAAAAAGCAAAGCACCAATTTGCGCTAATATAAGCTCCTGAATATATATTTGTTAAAAAGAAATGAGTGATTCTGTATATAAACAATGTTTAAAACATAGATATTGATCTTGTCTTGTATCATTGTTCCGATTTGCAACGTAATCGGTAAAATATATTCCAGATGGGCCAGAGGTTAAATTAGTGACAATAATATGACCAAAAGGAATATTGTTCACAGTGATTTGATCACAAGTTAATTTGGTTACCGTTGTTCGGAGTAACGTTTCATATATTGTTGATCTACTTCCTCATGGGCAAATTACAGTAGCTACTACCAATGTATTGCAAATATGTTGTTCTGCCTCTATCCCAGCCTCTGATAGCTATTGTGAAAGTTGTCGACTGGTGTAGAGACAAACTAGGCCTTATTTTATGGGGAATTTCCACACCTCTAAAGGCATTTATTTAAATCGGAACGGCAATATTACCAAATATATTCGGAAAGATGGATATTTTTTGTAGTTAAGCTATACCATCATAATCCCCCCAAACCATTTATCTCTTCGGTTCAATCGAAGTTTTTTTTAAAGAAACTTATCTCTAGTTGGCCATTTATAAATTCAATGGTAACGTGATGCTAACAGAACGAAATTAACGATGATACCCAGCACGAATTTACAGTCATCGTAAAGGTAATATTATATCATGTCGGATTGGATTTTATTTTCGACAATTAATCTTATTTGGTGGTGACCATTTTTAGGGTTTTTATATCATGGTAACCAATTGTCGTTAAAGATTATTGATGCTAGAGCAATATTTCGTGGGGTTAAAATTAGATTGGAATACTGGGAACTACAAAGAAAGGATTTTTTCCACATTTCTTAATGCATGACTTTATGAAGCCCAACCCAAAACTAGTTTAAGCACACTCCGTTTTAAATAAACCCTATGAAAACAAATTCCGTTTGATCAAGAAGATACATAGTAAATAGCATATTTAATAGCTATACTTTTATTAATATTTTTCTTCTCTTTCGTTGGTCGATTTAAATACGAAACTTTGCCGCGTGGCTTTCTAATTTCTGAAGAAAAATGGCGGAGGCCAGTGTGATTGCATTGAAGGATATAATGCGAACTACTCCTAGTATGGAAAAGGAGCAAGCTTCTGCTAGTCCCGTAGATACGGAAAATAAATCTGTCAGTTCGAGTAAAGGTAAAGGCAGTAGACATTCGAAGAACACTGCGAAGAAAAACAAAGATGAAGCTTTGGGAAAAACTGGGATGACGCGGTTGTCCAGTGGCAGTACTAATTTTATTACAACTAGTAGCAGTACGGCTATTGTCGGTAATGATGGAAATAATAGTGTCAAATGGATTAATCTGTGTCGCAGAGAGTCTCACAAGAGGGATATTGATCCCAGACTTTGTTTCTCGACTATTCCGTTCACTGATCAACTTTATGGTGACAACGTGATCAAAGACATAAAAGATATTCAAGAGGCAGCAACAAGACATTCAGTCAGAATAGATACTCTAACTACAGAGCCGAAGGCTCTGGAAGGCCTGCTTACAGAGGCACCTCAAATAGAGGACGTTTCAACAGATACCAAAGACCAAGATTTAATGGTTATAATAACTCTAATGGTACTTCTAGTAGTGGCAGTCAAAGTAGTTTAAAAAAAACTCCAAGACGGAGCACAGGAAAGCATAAAGGTATGTAATGCCAAATTTGAAGCAGGTAGATTTTGTAGATAATTGGGGAAAATTAACTTCAGATCCTAATATTCCTGACATTGTGTCACATTGTCATACTGAACTAATGCCAAATACAATACCAGAGCAAATAAGTCCTCCTGTTCATTTTTTTGACAGGTTTCAAGAAAATATTATTGATTCAGAAATAGACAAGTTAATTGAATCTAAAGTAGTGATAAAAGTAAATCCAGTTGAGGGTCAATATATTTATCAGGCCTAAAAAGGTGGTGAACATCGCATGATTTTAAATCTTAAAAAATTTAACAGTTCTTATATTGAATATCATCATTTTAAGATGGATACCTTCGAATCAGCAATTAAACTGGTAAAACCACACTCATATATGGCACCAGTTGATATAAGACATGCTTATTATTCCATACCTATAGCTGAAGAATGAAGAACAGAAAAATTCTTCAGGTTCAAATGGAAAGGTTCAATCTTTGAGTATACCTGTTTAGCAAATGGATTAACCTGTGCTCCTAGATTTGAGACAGTTAGGTCACACTAACACCAGCTATATTGATGATTCTTTATTACTTGGAGACAATTATAAGGAATGTGAAGAGAATGTGACTCAAACAGTCAAACGCTTAGAAGTAGTATATGTCTTTTCGGATATGACGCATTTCACTTCTGCGCATGCGCAGCTTTTTCAATGCGTCATATCCGAAAAGACACAACTGTTAAAATGTATTATAACAGACTCCCCAAACTGTTAAAATGTATTATAACAGACTCCCCAAACTGTATTATAACAGACTCCTCCAAACTGAATTATAAATTACCCAAACCACAGACAAGAATCACTAATAATAATACAGTAAAAAATAACCGCATTAAAAATGTCTTTAATTTTAAAACACGAAAAAAAAATTTGAAGGAGACGGTTTCTTCTCTGCGCTAACATCTCTCATCCCCAAAGTGGCCAATTTTGTCTCAAACAACAAATTTCCTCAGGAGTAGATATAAGCGAAACAGTGAAAAGATCTAACGAGTTGAAAGAATTACAACATATAAGAGAAATGCGAAATAAAAATTATTGGATAAAAACCTCAACTGATTAATGGGAGGTAACACTGTTTATACACAGTTAGTTGTCTAGAGTATTTTTGATTTAATAAATTACCTTTAACGCCTAGTAACAGTCACGCTATAATTAACATATCACGCGTGCAACCTCAGCACAGACAGTCTAGACTCTCAACTGTTAACCATGTTTTTGTTGAAGATTAGGAATTTAATCATACCAAAAAAGGTATGTTCTTTTTTTGTTTGATTTAATTATAAGACGACAGGGTGGAATTAAGATTAATTTGCTGTTTTTTCAAAATATCAATTTTTGTTTTATTCCAGTCACAAGTTTTATTAGATGCCAACATTTCATATCACGAAGAATATTTAAACCATCGGTAAGGGGATAGAAAAAGGCCAAGAATTTTTTACCAAACTCTGTGACAAATATCCAAGGTTTCAAAATTGTTGCTACAGATTTTCGAAAAGTGTTGAAGAACAAAAGGATGACGCATATCTAGCGATCCTAATAAGAGCGTTCGTGACCTTTAAATTATGACTGCCAATAGTGTAAGACGGGAGATAACTATGACCACTCTTATTAGGATCGTTCGTGACCTCATTTTTCAAACTACTCTTATATGACCGCTCTTATTAGGATCGGTCGTGACATTTCATAAAGTGATTCATTTCGATCGCTTTCTCCTTGTATTAAATCTTTCGTATTAAAAATATATGGTGTTTATTGAACAAATATGTCTTTAATAAATGTCCATCCTCCTAAAACGTATTTCGGTGCGGGGGACATTCAAAAGTCACTGGGTTCTCTTCCTGGATTCCCATGGGCAAAATATCCCAGAGAAAAACATCTCCCAGGGCACAATTATACAGGTCCAGGCACTAGGTTAGATCTGCGTTTAGACGAAAATGATAATCCCAAACCAGAACCCGTTAATAGAGTTGACGCAGCAGCGCTCAAACACGACATTCTGTACAGAAACAAAGACATAACATTCAGACACCATGCAGACAAACAAATGATAGACGAACTCGAAAATATTCCCAATCCCACTTTCAAAGAGAAATTACAGAGGGCTCTTATCATAAAACTCTTGAAGGCAAAATTGAAATTGGGTATGGGCATAGCAGACGAGATTCACAAAGAATTTCGAAAAAACAAACATTACCTCAAAGTCAAAGTTTTTGATAAAGATGAAATTTGGTCAGCCGATTTAATCAACATGCCAGTCGAGAGAGGGTACAAGTATTGTTTGACGGTGATCGACATATACACGAGATACGCTTGGGTCTTTCCCTTGAAAAACAAATCGGGTCTGACTGTCAAACAAGCATTCGAAACAATGAAACAATCCGACAGACGACCCCTAAAGTTGTGGGTTGATAAAGGAAGCGAATTCTACAACAGAAATGTGAAATCTCTGGGGTTTGAAATTTACAGCACGCATAACGAAGGTAAAGCCGTAGTGATAGAAAGATTCAACAGGACTCTTAAAAGCAAATTATTCAAGAAATTCACGGAATTGAAATCTCAAAAATGGCTTAAAATATTACCGGTTGTTGTCGACGAATACAATAACAAAATACATTCGTCTATAGGTGTGACGCCATCGCAAGCCTCTAATAACCCGAATATCATAACGTCCGTCAACACTCGAAACGAGATTAGCAATTTGAATATTAAACCCAAATTCGAAGTTGGAGATCGAGTTCGTATATAAATAAATCATTGTTTCAGAAAGGTTACGTCGGCTATTGGACTAACGAGATATTCATCGTTGATAAAGTAAACAACACAACACCTCCCATGTATGAATTGATCGATCAAGACAAAGAACAAATCATAGGAAGGTTTTATCAAAATGAACTTCAAAAAACTGACTTTTAAAAATGAATCTCGAAAATGAAGATTTAGGTGAAAGGTTAAGAAATTTAGATGTCGACAAGCATTTACGCTCTCTTAAATTAAGATTTTTTAAATTTAAATGTAAATTTATCTTCAAAATATTATTGAATGTGTTTTATCAGAATGTTATACAAGTTTTTTCGAACACAAACTACGTATATATTTCGTCAATTGGGTCTTCAGCAATACTTTCCGCCTACTTCGAAAAACACCTAAAAAAAATCGACTTAAAAAATGAATGCGTTTCTCGATAAATACGGAAAAGACACGACCACAAATTTTCAACTTGTGAAATGGGCCAAGGAGTTGAACGTCTCGCCGTTTTATTATTGCATGCGAGATGAAATTGATGAACTGAAATACAGGAAAGGTAAATTTTACGCCATCACAAACATTCACACGTCGGATCAAAAAGGAGTTCATCACTCTGCTTTACACAAAGATTCTTCGAATAACTTTTATATCTTTGATTCTTTCGGTCTAGAACCGACAGAAGAGATAACGAAATTGACTAGCAAACCAATCAAATGTTCTACGTTTCAAATTCAAATGCCAGGACAAAAGCTGTGTGGTCAGCTGTCGCTTTGGGTTTTATATCGGTTGAGTTTGGGAGAAAAGTTTGAAGAAATTATAATAAATTTAACTCAATAAAAATGGCAAACAAGTTTGGATTAGGGTCTTTACCTCTAGAATCTAAAAATGCCATGAGTTCTACGGCGTTTATAAACAAAGCGAAACCTTTTTTCGTGGATCAAATCGGAGACACCTTACAAGGGGATATCGATATGAACAATTTCAAAATAACTAATTTAAAGTTTCCAGGAAACGATAACGATGCCGTGAACAAGAAATATTTACTGGATCAAATAAACGCAATTCAAATAGATAAGGACCATGTTGAAAATAGAATAAATGACGTGAAAAGATTCATCAGACGAAATATTAAAAATCTTGTGGACGAACCCAAACTACAACAAGAGTTAACGAGTTTGAAACGTCTTATTCAAGTGGATAAAACAAGTCAGTTGATATCTAAATTAGACGATAAGATTACGAAGGTAAAAATAGACGTCCAACGTTTAATAGACAACCCAAATGTAAACGAGGATAGATTGAAACGAAAACTATCCGCTTTGGAAAGAAAACTTGGCGAATTGCTAGCAGAACTAGACAAGACCGCGGACAAAACCGAGTTACAAAATTCGATATCCAATTTGAACGAAAAGATCGCGAAGCAAAAATCAGATGTTCAAGATATAATTAACACACTTCCCATTGACAAAGATACGTTGAAACAACAATTGACTGCTTTGGATACTAAAATCACGGACGAATTAGAAAAAGAAGTGGGTGTGATTAAAAACTTTCTTCAAAATAAATTTCGAGATGATATGAAAAATTATATTAAAGAACAGGTCAATCTTTTGGTATCTAGAATTCATGACGATTTTTTGAGACAAGAGAAAAAGTTGAGCAAATTAGAAGCTATTGTCACGGACAAATCGTATTATTTCAATCTTCCATTCGAAAGTGACACTGTCTTCGATAGAAAAGATCAAATTTATAAATCAAACAAATACGGATTCAAAGCAGAAATAAAAGTAGGTACTCTCGCATACGGAGAACCGAAAAACGTATTCGATATCGGCGAAACGGAAGCGTGTACTTTTCGAGGTAATTGTCTGATTCAAATAGAGTTTCCCATGAAGGTTAAAGTCAATAAAGTAGTCTTCAAACAAACCGGTAAGGGCGTCAAACATATTTCATTATTCAATGATGGTAATTTGGAAGAGAATATACGTTTGATTGATAAAAGGGATCAGGAAATTGAAACGAAAAATGGTAAATATGTAGACACCCTTAAAATGGAAGTAGAAAATGATAAGGATATCATTGGAATCAAAGATTTGGATATGATATTGGAGACGAAAAATCCACCATTAACCAACATTGTCAAAATTCCACCATACGAAAAAAGAAATGTCGTTAGTACGCGTAAATGTTTTTACTTTTAATACCCGCAAATATAATAATGTTAGGAATGGAATAGGGAATCTATACGATATTCCGTAGTTCCATTTATCGGAAATTCACTTAATTTAACGACTTAAAAAATGGAACTCGAAATTTTGGACAAATTCCATACAGAAATATCAGCGGTCAAAATAAAGAAATAATCAAAAATATATACTTAAAAAAATATGAATAAAATCGAACTTGATGAAACATTGATAGAAAACGCCCTTTTTTCCGATGTTATCAAGGCTATCTCTGATAAATTTAAAACATTCAAAGGACAAATTAAAATAGATGGAGAGATAGTGGAGGAAGAGAATCACAGACAATACATGTCACTCCTCGGTTTCAATGCCAAAACCTTTCAAAATATCTTTTCAAATATGGACAAAAAATCCGATGCTTCCGATTGGTATTTTACAGGAAAAATAATTTTAATGAAAGACAATTTCCAAGAAATAAAAAGATCGAGAGTTGGCAGAGGAGGAACTGATCTGCTTAAAAAGATCAATGAATACGAAGGCGAAAATTGTTACATACCTACAGATGCTCACTGTTTTATCAAATGCGTCAATCGTGTTTTGAACAAAGATTTAACGTGTAAATTTCAAGAATACATCAACGGGTTTTCAAAAGCAAATAGAAAAGGAGTGATGACATGTGCTAGAATGAATGAATTCAACAAGAAATTTAACACTTCGTTTCAAATTTATAATCCCAAAAACAGACATTTTCACCCCAGAGACGTTCACGATGAATTAGATTGGGTTTTGTACTTATACAACTCGCATTTCTGTTTGATTAGAAGAAGCCAAAAAAGTTTGGGAATTCAAGAAATAGAAGACAATTACGAACAGGTGTGGAAAACGTGTAGAGACGATAACGCAGTAACACAGGTTTCACCGCTCAAACTAAACGTGCATTCGAGTATGAGTGATGATGCGTTATTCGCTTGGGATTGCGAAACGTATTCAGAAAAAGACACGCGAAGAGCAATTCCTTATGCCTGCACTTTAATTAATTTAGAAAAACTAAGGAAAATGTTAAACAGAATAAATAATCTATTTCCAGATTTAAAGCCTACAGATCCCAGTCCAGAAGAATTTTATGATAAACTAATGAATGTAGTAGAAATATTTGTAGGTACAGATTGCATCGATCAAATGTTGAAATATTTAGGTCAATGATAGAAAGAGATTAATATTAATTTCTCATAACGGCAGTGGATTCGACAACTGGATCGTGCTTAAAAATGCAAAAAAACTAACGCATTGCCCTTTAAAAACACCCAGAGGAATTCTATCTTTTCCTTTATCTAATCCATACACGGATGAAGATTTACAGAAAAAATGGAAAAGACAGAAAGAAATAAAGGGTAATTATTTACAACATATTAATTTCACGTGTTCCTATCAACACGAATCCTCTAGTTTGGCTGCATGGGGAAATTCTTCCAATCTTCCCGCGAATTTGAGAAAGATTGCCGACGTAGATATCGCTAAATACACGCGAGACAACTGGGAGGAATTGAGACACGAATGGGAACCTTACGCCAAGAGAGACACTCTCTGTTTGGGAGCTTGTTTGATAAAATACAACCAAGTCACGAAAGAAGTTGTAAACCAGAATATGTCCAATAATCTAACTGCTCCATCTTTATCTTTAAAGGGTTGGTATTATTTATATCATTACGATAAAGAAATGGTGGAAGAAGAATGGTATGAAACTACTAGAATGGTTGCGAAACATACCGAAAAAGAAAATATAGAAAAAGTTTATTCGCACACAAATCCTTTTATAAGAAATTTTATCAGACGATCTATTAAAGGAGGAAGAGTTTCGGCAAATAGAAAATCATTTGAAACGAACAAAATGGATAAAATTTGTAACGTATTAAAGGAATATACAGAACTTGAAAGTAATAACATAATTGATTTATTCAAAGAATACAGCGCAAACACAAAAGACAAAACGGAGGTTCATTCGAGACTTAAAAAAATAAAATGTACTAAACTAATGGCATTTTATGCTAACGGTTTATACGCTTCCGCCATGTCGGATTTAGACAGCGAATATCCGAGAGCCGAAAGTGGAAGACCGTTTCTACCAGAAGAAGAAAAAGAATTTGTAAAACTCTTCAATAAACAAAAATTCAGACCTAGAACAGCTATTTTAACAGTGTGGTTTGACTATCCCAAAAACATGTTCTTCCAACCGATACCAGCTAAAGATAAAATCACTTTCACGAATAAAGAAGGTAAAAAGGAAACTGGCACTAAAATCAGGTTCAGAAATGGTTTCTGTCACGACGTTTTAACATCGGTTGGTATTCAAGAAATAGTGAAATCCGGTGGACGAATTATTAGAATATTAGATGGTATAGTTTACGAAGAAAATTTTAAAACTCCACCCTATAGAGATTATATTTTAATTTTGAGAGATTTAAGAAATAAATATAAACGAGAAGGTAATATCGTGGGTAGTAACTGCATGAAATTATTAGGTAATTCCTTGTATGGTAAATCAATTCAGAAAGATATATTCACAACTAGACATTTATGGAATGAAGCAACTTTACAGGCCAACTTTGATTTACGCGTTAAAACCTATGAGAAAATTAATGACTAACACCTAGTCATTAGGATCATTCGTTTTGTCTCACAGTAAAAAAATAATGAACAATTTCATTCACGTCATAAATGGATTTTATAAACCCGAAATATACTATACCCACACCGATAGTTTGTACATTTCATCCAAAAATTGGAAAAAACTAAACAGAGCTGGTTTGGTCTCCGAAAAAGACTATTGCAAAGGTAAAAACGATTACGGTGACGGTGGAATTATATTTGGTTTATATTTAGCACCAAAAGTCAAATACAACATCGTTTTGACTTCTGATGGTGTCTTAAAAGAAAAGAAAACGTTTAAAGGTTATTCTAATGATAAGATAAGTGTAGAAGATTACGTTCCGTTAGCAAGCGGACATGATGTGTCGAACGAATTTAATAAACCATGGGAAAAAAGTTTCACCAATGGAGTAGTTATTCCAAATGATAAACAAACTAAAGTTTTTAGAAGTTATTTGAATAATGTTAAAAGAAAACCACCAAACAGTGAAGGAATTATGTATCCTTACAACGACAAAGACGAGTATAGTTTTGACGAAAACTATGAATTTGATGATTTCGATTATCTTTCTAATCAAGAAGAGAATGAAGATTGTTTTAAATGAAGTTGAATGACAATTTCTTCGTTGCCAAAGTCTATGAACCTGTTTTTACCGTCTTTGATTTCCAGATTTATATCTTTGATCATGAAAGAATTGACTGGTAAATAGGTCGTTTGAAACGGTTTCTCTATAATTCTGTATCCGATCGGCACCGTTAAAGTCGGTATGCTGTATATGATTTGGCGTTTGTGCTTGTTGAAAAATCCACCGTTGATCAAATTACAGTGAATGTTAATCACGTCGATATCGTTCTCGATGTTGGCCTTGTGCGGCGCCAATGTCGATTGCGCGTATATTCGTTTATCGAATCCTAGTAACGCATTCAACGAATTTTCTACGTTGAAATCGACTTGACTGTTATTTCTCAAGATCAGTTTTATTTTGTTCAGATTCAAATTACCTTCGAATTCGATATTGTTTTTGCCGTTCACGCTTCGGATAGGTATTCGTTGATGGCTACGTATTCGTAGCTCCCCGGTAGTAAGCTTATGGTTTCGAACGTAACTCTGTTATCCGTCGATATTTTTAGTTGATTGTTTTTTTCGTTGATGTTTCTAATGGAATTGTAAACGGAGAAATACTTTAATCCCAGTTCGTACTGTTTATTGCGATCGAGTTCATACTCGTAGTCTAGAGACAATTTGATGTCTGGTTTATTCGAGGTGATAACGAACAATTGTTCTTTATTGGACATTTTTAATGACGTTTATATAGTCTTTTTTAGTGATGATTTCTTTCTCCAAAAGTCGTTTTAATATGGCATTGACTTCGTTGTATTGTCTGTCCGATCGATGACCTTCCTTCATGGCCGCTAATATTATTTCTAATCTATTAAGTAATTCTTTATTGTCGTCGGATAAAAACGTTATACCTTGTCCAGATGCCACCATATCATCGAATTCGTCTATTTCTTGTATGATTGGTGGATAATCTTCTGCATAATCGTCTGATTTCTCTTCATCAGGAATAACTTTATTTAAATATGTTTCAACTTCTTTCAATCTTCTTGTTTCGGGTCCTGACTTTCTTATTGCATGTAGAAATTTTGAGTATGCAACTAAATCCTTGTAATCGGCGATTTCAACATCCTCACCATTCATTAAATCTATTAATCCTTTCGTTAATGTAAATATAAAGTCTTTTGTGTCGATTTTGAATAAAGGGGAATTTGGACTAAATATTATTCTAAATCCATTAAACAATAAACCTTGATTATCAACGATTGGTTAAATGCTCTTTGGTAAATCTGGGTCAGGGTTTGAAAAAAGACGTTTTATATCAACTAATGTCCTAATTATAATACCATTATATTCAATCGGTTTGGGTTCTATAGGAGGCGTGGGTTCTAAAGCTAATTTCTTTTTAATATCCTCTTGAGATTTTAATATGGGTTGAAATAGAGTTTGTAGATTTTCCGTTAATCCGAGTTGTTGTAATCTGTTATTTTCAACTTGGGTCTTTATTTTATTCTTAGCTTTGATATATTCTCTATTTATTTTTAAAAAATTATTCCAATCCGTCATTTTTAAAAAAATGAAATTAACATATATCGATCATAACTCTTTCTCCCGCAGGTTTTCTAGTATTTACAAATACATATCCATGATCATCTGGGTTTCTCCATTGAGCTTTACAAACCTTTTTAAATGTATCTCTGTCCATTCCGTGATTTATAGACTGAATGATTTGAGATAAATCTTTATCGTTTAATTCAAATAATAAAAAACAATTTGCATTTTTTCTAATGAACATAGAATCCATCCCGTAAAAAGATTGGGATTGGTATATGCAGTGACAGTTGTGATGTCTTCCTTTGGTGAAGAATTCTTGTTGAACAATTTGATTTCTTTCCGCTACGCAGTCGTCAAACAATATTAAGTTCTTTCGATTGCTATCAATATTAGACAAGTCTAGATCAATAACATTTTTCGTAAGAAAAACTTTTATATCCGTTGGATTGAAAGATGGATTCTTTGATTTAATGAAGTTTTCTATCATATCTTTTATTTCCACTTCTTCTTCGTTTTCTTCGTAATATTGAAATATGTCTTGAACGTCTTTCTTTGGTAAATATTCCAAAGCTTTGAGGAATTGATAATACGATTGCTCTGGTGTTGTTGTGTAGATATACAGAGAATCGAAATCTAAAAGGTTTGGTGTTGTCAACATGTTAAAAGTGAGATGAGTTTTCCCAGAACCCGAACTACCGCATATACACATGAGCATTGGGTTATTAGGAAATATTTCTGAATGATTACATTTCTTGCCCATTTTTATTTATTACATTTTCGTACCAAAAATCACCCCGTTGCCTTTATACTTTGAAAGGAAGATTCCCTCGCCCGAACGTATGTTTTTAAGAAATATGGCGTCGCCCTTGTGTTTGACCTTCATTTCTCCGGTGTCGATTTTATCTATTAATTTGCTTAATCCCTCTTTAACGCTTTTCTTGGTTTCTTCGCCAAATCTTTGTCCGAATTCTTTAACCGTCCCTAATATATCTCCTACACTCGAACCTCCTCGTGCTTCTCTTTCCATTGCCAAATTGTGTCTACGTGCTTCGGCGTTTGCAGCGGCTTCAGCTTTCTTATCGTTGACAGCTATGGCTAATCCAGCAGCTCCACCAGCAGTTGCACCGGCTGCAGCTAAACCAGCAAAGATTAAAGGTAAGAAAGGTAAAAATCCACCTTTTTTAGTTAAATTCTCATCAATTCTTTCCAAGTCTATATCGTCTCTGACTTTGCAATGTTTGTATTTATCGATAATCTTTTGGGTTATATGCACTTTTTTACCGTTGTAAGTTATTAGAGTCGGCGAATTCGTTTCCATAGCTTCTATTATTTTCATAACTAAAGTTTCTGGTTTCATTTTTAAAGGGTGTTTTTTTATTCAATTCTTATCATTCTTCTATCTGATATTTTAATCAAATGTTTTGCTTCTTCCAGCAATAAACAGTAGCCGGTCACATCTCCTTGTGTTTTATCGATGTGAATATTTATGTTCACCCCTGTTTTGAAAAGATCTTCTTGATGAGCTGACAGATCGAAACAAAAGATTGGATGATTGAGTGAAAAATCTGTGTATTCAAACTGAGGCGTATTTCCAAACAATTCGCACATGTTTTTATAGTTTCTGTACAATTCGTTGTAATCTTTTTTGGAAGGATCAATTGTCAAAGGTTGATTGGGATGATTATCGTTGTTCAATCTGACTTGAACTTTGCGAATGATGGGATCTTGAGTATGGTTCAATGCCACTCTGAAAATGTTGTTGTTGTTTGTCTGAGAGTCTGGCAAGTTTTTGAAACCGACCATTAGATATCTCGCTGGTTTGACGGTGTTGGTGATTGGCCACGTGGTGCATTCTCCCGTTAAAGTCATGCTACCTACCGTGTTACGACGAAGAAAAGCAATTTCGATGTCTTTGGTTAAAGAGTTGAATATTCTCGTTTCCATTTCTACGGAAGGAGTGATTACCGGTATGTAAAGTTGGATATTCGTTATTTCCAATTTTGCGTCAGAGTTGTTTTCACCAAAGAATATCTTGTTGTCGTTGATTTCTCTTTGCAAATGAATTTTATACGGTAAACCTATGGAAACCTTTCTGTGTTCCAAGAGACCAAATAAAGGATACAACTTCCAATTTACGTAATTACCCCATCTGTTGTTCTCGACGACATTGTTGTATTGAAGCGCTCGTTTTTCAAATCCGTGATTTACTCCGCGAGTCACTCTTTCCAGTGTGTTTCTAGCGACTACCCTTATCCTAGCAAGGTCTGCGTCATTTGCTACAGTTCTGACCGGTTCTTTTAAAACTTCTCCGTCACCGACATCGGGAATCCATCCCGAAACTGAATCGTAGTTTTTGGGATAGAGAACCGTTTTCAACATTGTGTCAAACTCGCCGGGGTGTTTTATGGTCTCTATCGGATTTGAAGCAGCTTCCAAAACCATTTCGCTGAATAAAGACGGAAAGAAGTTGTTTTCTAAAGTCGTGTTGGTATGTGGAATTCGATTCTGAGTGGCGTCTTTGATTTTGAAATCGCATCAGAAATGGGCATCGGAAAGCAGCAACCAATTGGACAACGAATTAATTTCAAAGGTAACTCTTCCTCCGTCGTTTATTTGGGTCTTTGTCCCTACTGATGGTGAGATGATAATACATTTTTATCCAATGATTTTGAACCCTTTTCCTTGTTTTTCTAGGGCTTGTCGTTCTAGTCTCTTGTTTCTTAGTTCTCTTATTAGCTGTAGTTCTTTAAGTTCGTCAGATTTTTTCACTGCATCGCTTATATTTACTCCTGCTTTTGCCACAGATCCAAGAGCTTTCGCCTCTCAGGAAATGAGGGATTTGCTGTTTGAGACAAAATTGGCCACTTTGGGGATGAGAGATGTTAGCGCAGAGAAGAAACCGTCTCCTTCGAATTTTTTTTGTTCGTGTTTTAAAATTAAAGACATTTTTAATGCGGTTATTTTTTACTGTATTATTATTAGTGATCTGTGGTTTGGGTAATTTATAATACAGTTTGGGGTGGGAGTGTGTTATAATACAGTTTGGGGAGTCTGTTATAATACATTTTAACAGTTTGGGGAGTCTGTTATAATACATTTTAACAGTTGTGTCTTTTCGGATATGACGCATTGAAAAAGCTGCGCATGCGCAGAAGTGAAATGCGTCATATCCGAAAAGACATATACTACTCTTAGAGCAGCTTGGTTTTATCATTAATTTTGATAAATCAATGTTTAAACCTTCACAAAAAGTAACCTTTTTGGGTTTTATTATTGACTCAAAGGAAATGCTTGTTTTGCTGGATGATGTCAAAAAAGATAATATAATTTCAGAATGTCAATCATTACGTAATAAGTCCAAATGTAGAATCAGAGACTTGGCTAAGGTCATAGGCATTTTAGTTTCATGTTTCCCAGCAGTCGAATTGGGACCATTACATTACCGATCACTTGAAAAGGGGAAATTTTTAGCCTTGAAACATTATTATGTTAATATCTGATGAAATGAAATCAGAACTCAAATGGTGGATAGACAACATTCATCATCAAAAGAGAAACATTGTTTGGTCTAGTCCTAAAATCACCATCATAACAGATGCCAGTTTGTCTGGCTGGGGTGCTGTTTTGAATGAAAAGCACATTGGTGGTCGATGGGATCTAGATGAACAGTTATTTCAAATAAATTATTTAGAATTGCTTGCAGTATTTCAAGGACTAAAGAGTCTTAAAAGATTTTATGTCAAAATATTAACAGATAATACATGCACAAAATCTTACATTAATTCTATGGTTGGCAGGACATCTTTATGCAATAGTTTATCCAATCAGGTTTGGACCTGTTGTATTGAAATAGATATATGGTTAACTGTTTTCCATGTGCCAGGAGTAGGAAATGTGGCTGATTATGGGTCAAGGAATTTAAATGATAATGTTGAATGGATGCTAGACAAAAATATTGTCAGCCGCTTATTTGAGGTGTTGGGCAAGCCCACCATTGACATGTTTGCTTCAAGGCTAAATAAACATCTGGAACCCAGACCCACATGCCGAGAGTGTGGATGCATTTTCGTTAGATTGGTCAGCTAATGTATTTTAAGCTTTTCCTCCTTTCAGTTTGATATCCAGAGTGTTGGCTAAGTTAAGACAAGACCAAGCAGAATGTTTATTGATAGTTCCCTTGTGGACAACACAGAACTGATATCAGGTTTTGATGGAAGTACTAATAGACAATCCATTGATATCACCGAGAAAAAAAACTCTTCTAACATTAGTAGGGACTCACAAAATTCACCCGCTTCACAACAAACTACAGCTGCTGGCTTGTCGTGTATCAGGACTAATTTGGAAGGCAGAAACCTTTCGTCAAGGTCTGCCCAGATTATCATGTCAGCCTGGCGAAGTAGTACTCAAAAACAATACTCAACATATATCCAGAAATGGATTCAGTTCTGTGTGCAAAGGAAGATTGAATTCCTTCAGTCATCTATAGATAGTGTGGTGGAGTGACATCATTGTTTGACAGTGGACTAAGTTATAGTGCTTTGAACACAACAAGATCAGCTCTTTCAGCTCTAGGACTTGTTCAGGATGGTTTTGCCATTGGACCCCACCCTGTTATAAATAGGTTTATGAAGGGAGTTTATAATCTCCGTCCTTTACAATCTCGGTATTGTGAAACTTGGGACGTATCTGTGGTGCTGAACTATTTGAAAAACTTACACCGGTGAAGGATTTGAGCTAATATCCTACAAACTTTCTATGTTAATTGCATTAACTTTGGCCAGCAGGACTCAGTCCCTTCATTTGTTGACTATACTTGGTTTGAAGAAAAATTATTATTCTTACGTTCTTCATTATAGTGGTTTACTAAAACAGTCACGAGCAGGGAAAAATAATCCTGTCGCTGAATTAAAGGCTTATCCTCCAGATAGGAGACTATGTGTTGTGTTTACCTTAAAGGAATATTTATGTAGAACATCCGAGTTACGGAATGGTAAAAATCCTTTATTTATTAGTTTTATCAAACCTTACAAATCTGTGTCGAAGATGACAATAAGTAGATGGTTACTTCGGGTTATGTCAAACTCGGGAATTGATCGTAATAAATATAAATCTCATAGTATTAGAAGTGCTGCAACATCTAAAGCTAATGCTAAATTTGTGCCAATAGAAGACATTCTACATGTAGCAGGATGGACAAATACAAAAACTTTTGCCAAGTTTTATGACAAAAATATTGTAGAAAATAATTTATGCAGTGTTGCTGTTTTCAGTTTATAAATAAACTGTAATTTTTAACTTTGTCTTCTTTATAACAATTTGGCTTTGAAGTCTCATATGAGATCGGAAGTGGTTATGACGTAATAGAATCCCCCAACTAAACTATACTTACCTTGGTTAAAGGTGACGTTTGGTTGGGATTCTATGTAGTTATTGTAACCACTGGAGGGATCAGATGCCCTCCCTGGTAAATGATATTTACCCCTCCCAGGTTTAGGTGATAAACCAAGCGTCTGTTTTGTACTGAATCTTGTCAAATTCTTATAAAGTATGGCTGTAAATACTGACTAGTTAGAGGTTTGGCGCGCATCTCATCTGATCGCTCCAGTGGTTACGATGACTACATAGAATCCCAACCAAACGTCACCTTTAACCAAGGTAGCCTAAATACGATGGCAACAATTCCTCTTTCAGCATTCTTATAACGTCTCCCTCGAAATTCTTATAAACTCGATCTTGACGAATTTAGGGTTCTATCGCTATAGAAACGGCACCTCTTTAGATGGCTGGGCTTTCATCTCTGAATAGATTTTCCCGGCAAGTGACTTTTACAGTTTTAATTTCTATGTTTACATCATGTTAACAAAAGGCAGCGTTCATTTTTAACAAGAAAATACAATATAATATAAGAGATAAAGATTGGCTGTGCGACCAGTTATCCCTGATTATCAGTGATTAGTTTCGTTCGTGTTTGAACTCTTCGGACTGATTAGACTCACCTTGTGGGGTTCTATTTATACTGTTCATGGACCCCGGTGGAAGGTTACCGGGGTATGGGTTTTACCGGGGTTGCCTGGGTTCGTAAGTATCGGGGTTACCGGGGTGGATTTTACCGGGGTTACCGGAGTTGATCAGTACCGGGATTGGTTTATTCCAAGGTAGGAGGGTTTAACTATAGGGGTTACCGGGGTTGATCAGTACCGGGATTGGTTTGTTCCAAGGGAGGAGGGTTTAAGACTGGGCAGTCGTGATCCCCTTTCAACACTCGGAATTTATAACCGCCGTGGTGGAAGAAAATCCATCGGCTAAAAGACAAAGAGTCTACTTTTCCACCAACCAAGTCTGCCAAAGCTAATGCTAAAGAAGTGAACCTATCTATCCTACCAGCCGCCTTTCACTTCCATTTACCGAGACACTCCAGTCAAAATCTCGACTACTTAATAATCAACCGACTCGGCACCAACCCGGATCTAACACAGTCTACAGCCAATAGGCCCTCCATTTAACTCCATTGGATTATCAGATTGCAAACTTTCTAATGGGATCAATGACAAATCTAAACTTAGACACCCTCACTTCTTTCTTTGTTAAGAAAATACAATATGTTTGGAAGCCGACTGCGGCTCACGACTACGAGAAAGCGAGTAAATTAGACTTCTCGCCCATGAGAAAGCGAGTGTAAAAAATGCGAGGATAAAGGGAGAAAATTTTCCTTGCATTCTCACCCTTTTCCTCGTCTTTTTCATCGCCTTTTTCCTTTTCCTTTTTTCTTTTCGAAGAAGGGTTTATATTGGCGTCACCCATGTCCGTCCGTCCACAATTGTTCCTAAACACTCTAGAAGGCGCAATTCTTGGCGGATTTTGAAGAAACTTGGTATGAGTTATGAGTTATTGTAATTCTTACAATTAAGTGTTTTAATTTAGATTCGCGGAATTGATCAATCTGTTAGGATCTGAAAAAAGTTTGGACAATTGAGGATTAAATCTATTATATACCTTATTCACGCGTCGACCAAATTGAATCGAGAACTAAGCTCACAACGCAAACAATAAAAAAGGTTACTTTGTGTCACTGCATAAATTCTCCACCTTGACAGCATTATCGCCTCCTTCTCCAATCCCACTAACTCAAACCTAATCATATTTTACATCATTAAATTTGCAATTGATTAAGTTTTTTAATGATACACCTAGATGAATTTCGCCGTCGCACATTTACTATAAAGTGTAGTTTTAAGCCCTTTTCTCGCTGTTGAACGAATAATTAAAGAGAAGCTGACATGGATCTCAATATCGCTTATAAGACATTTTTTTTAAATATCTATAACTATTTAATACAATTTCCAAAGTTATACAGCAATAATACAGCTCAATGCCTCAGAAAAACTCTTTTTATGCCACCCCTGCACCGGTCGTTAATCAGACAGTCGTTAATAGTCGCCATTTTTGTGTGACGTCACAGAGGTAAAGAGCAAACATGGCGCACCGTGAAAGTGATAGCAGCAACTCGACTGATTTCGAAAGAAATGTAATTTTATCGTGTTCTGAGAGCTCCTATGATCTTGAGGAATCTGATAGTGAAAGAGGGAGATCTCCATATAATTTTGCAGAAGGTCACGACAATTTGCCGTATAGGTACGAACCCTATGCCTCCGACGCCGATGGTGACGATGAGGGTAGCGGGAGTGAAGATGGTGAACCAGCTGCTACAGGGGGCATTCCTGCCGATTTTAGTAGGCTGAACAATATTGAATGGCAAGTTGAACACATTGTTTTATAGAAAGTCGTTTAAAGTCAGATTTTCCTTGATTTTAATATGCTTGACGGAAATTGAAAGTCACATCAAGCGTTACTATAAATAGGCTAGATGCGTGACGCCATTTGTCTTATAGAAAAGGGATTCCCTGTGGCTTCCTACCCTGGTTCAGTATGTTTATTTTCTCTTATGTAAAATAATGCGTCATTTCTGGGTGTAGAAATCCAGAAAACATCAGTTAATTCCAGTCATTACTGAGTTGCTAAGTTAGTGGTTTTTGACATTCATTCGAGTTTGACATAGGCCTAGGCAATTGTAACAAAAAAAGAAACAAAACAAAAGACAGTTAACTGGAATGTTGTTCTTTATCATTTAAAGTTAGTTTAGCCCATTTACAACCCCATATCATTTGCAATAAAAAAATCAAGTGCTAACCATCCGAACTGCAAAACGAAACTCGAAATCCAATACATCATTTTGGCAGGTAGTGAACTTTCATATGAAGAAGTATATCAATGTAAGCAAGTATTTCATAATGAAAAGTGGTATCAGGTGTCTACAAGAGTAAGCACACCCATCATATATATAATTATTATAATATATTTAAAATACCTTCTTCTAATTTCAGGTGTCAACGTGGCACATGCTCTTATATCAATATGGAAAAACCGGAAGATGTGTTTGCTGCATTGAGCTTGAGAGGGTGAGAGAGAAGAATGAGGGTCAAGCTGGGGATTGTATAACACAGCACCCAGCTTTCCAAACAGTCTGTCTGGACCCAGTTGTACTTGATGTAGCCTACAGCCACTACAAGCAGCATTATGGGCCGATGGACAAATCCCAAAATGAGTCAGTGAACATATTAGTATTTACCCTCTGTCCTTTTCAACAAATAACAGTTTTATAATAAAAATGTCAAATGTGACAGTTGCTTGTTTTATGACCTGGTATTTCATTGCCTAATACATAATCACATGTTTTTATACAAATTATGCATCAACAAAATGCATCATTTAAGTATAACATTTTGATGCATTTTTATTATGATTATATTTCAGACGCCGCAGATATACAGCCTATCGTCAGTTTGTGCGCTGGATATGGGACTTCCTTGGTAAAAACATCAGAGAACCGCTTCCTGCATGTGTTGTCACACAAGTAAGACAGAGATATCCTTCACCAGAATTTACAGGTTTCCTGGATGTGGAGTCTGCTTCTTAATAAAAAGTAATAAAAGCAATAATCTCTTTATTTCACATGGGTCAAAATTAGGTCTATTATTTCAAAGTGAAATGGGATCAATCATCATCGTGTCTGGACACGGATACTTCTGTAGTTGTTGCGTCTCATCTTCTCTGTCTGACATCCAGTAGTCTGAGTAGAGTGTCCATTACATGGCATCAAGGAAACAGTAGTATCAGGACTCACTGGGGCTTCATTTGAATGTGGCTCTGTAGGTACAGGCATTAAGATCTTTTCCAACACCTAAAATCTCAATAAACAAGGCTTTATTTTCCTACTCCACTCACACATCCATGCTTACTTTTACTTTAGTTACATACTAATAGTAATAAAAATAGGGGAAATAGTGCCAACAGACCCAAATAGGACCAAAAGTAAACAAAGGACCATTACTTATCGTCTTGTGGTGGCTAAATTAACATGTACAATGCCGATTAAGATCTATGCCGAGTTTGAAAAGCTATGAAATTGTTTATATTGGTCTTACGTGAAAAAAAAAACGAATAGGCCTAATAATTCTTACTCTGGCTTTTTCCCTCTTTTCAAAAGCTCCACGAATACGCTTTTTTGGCACTGGAACATCGTCCTGACTATCTCTGGGATTTCGGAATATGGTTGGGACGGCATCTGGTGATCTTCGTTAAAATGGACGCTGCAAATGTTGCTCCATTTCGTAGCAGACCAGTCAACACGTGTATTCTGAACATTTTTCTCCCAAATTCTTCTTAATTTTGGTTCAGTAGGGAACAGGTGAATGCTGATGTTCAAATCCTCATCCTTTTCATTGGAACAACCACCTACAACACACCTCCTAGGCATTTTTACTAAATTTTTAAATATACTTTCTGCGTTCACAAGCGTAAGAAAGCAAGGTGGCGTTACCACAGTGACGTCACATCCGCCTTCTCCACTTTCTCTCAACTATTGATCGTGGAATTTCTCGCGGGAATATTAAAAACGACAACTACGTAGTTATTAGCTATTTATTTATCATATTTCTTGTTCCTTTTGTTAAAGTTTCGCATACATAATTGATTTTACGCGAATAGTCTGTTGAATGTCGGATGACGCAAAAGCCTATTCCTTCATTTGACGTCGCCATCTTTTCAATGGATGACGTAATTTGCGTTATGAACCTCGCTTTCAGTGTCACAAAAACGAGGCGTGAAAAAGGTCTATCTACTGGTACCTCTGCGTTTCCTTTAGTACGGATCCGGTCCGGATGCGGATACGGCAAAAATCACTTTCATTGAAATAAGTAAGGGTGTTTCCTTATATACGGTTCCGTATGCGGCATCCGGGACGTTTTTTTTATGCTACCAATCTGTTTGCTATCCTGAATCTAGCGATAGTCCTAATGCAGTTCTTCTGAGAATCAATCCATTGTCGGCTTTCGCCCCGTTATACCTCAAAGAAGACTCTTAATGCAACTGACCGTCCCTGTCTAACCCAAATGAAATCAATAAAATAACTTCTCATCCATCTCCTAGATAAGGGATTTTGAACACTGAACTAAAATTTGCAAATTAAGTGGTTTTTTTTTTAACCGAATTCAATGTTTTTCAAAAGGAAACAGTCTAAAAATCAATCGAAACCTGTCAGCCAGTTTGGCCATTTGACTGCTATTTTACTGCTTTACTTTTCTAAATTAGAAAAAAAGCTCTAAATAAATTGTAACGGTTCAAATTTCTTAGAAATAATTATTATGCTCAATTTCAAAGTCCTTGTGAATAGTGAATTTGAAAATATTTTTTCATTTCTTTGGCACTTCTAATCTAGTTGAATTTGAAATGACAATATCTGGTGTTAATCTAATCTCAATAAAACAAGTTTGATGAAAACCGTTTGACTTTCACTTCTTTTTTAGAATTTTAGAATTTGAGAAATTTTTGAATGTCCCAAAAACATAGGCCTCGGACACCCACACTTATCCAGGTATAGTCTGGGACTTACAGTCGATCTTTATGTTACGGCACTTCCAAGTTCTATCAAGGGAGATAACTACAATTAAGAAGAATTCAATCAGTCTTCTGTCCGACTATTCTTTTGGTATCAGTCTTCATGACCGTCAAGCGCGCTCGAAACAGTTCTGTCTATTACTGGTCAGTCCAAACGAAGGAATCAGTCTACATGACCGTCTTACTAAGCACACGTGGTAACATTGCGACATCCTCAGTCCTGGTACATGGAAATTATATTCAAGAAAAGGCTGAGTTGTGCTAAAAACATGGCATCTTGTTTCGTCTCAATGAAGAAATGTGTTTTATGTATATCGGGGAATCTTATACCATCAATTAGCACCATTTCAATTTTCAATTAGACGTCACTAATCGTAAAGGGCCTCATGTGAAATAAGCATGAACACTTAGTGGAATTGCAGGAACCATAGACATCTGACTCAAAATTGGAATGGTGCAAAATGTTGCTATCAGTCTCCCTGATACACATACAATAAATTATAAAACCTCTTTACATCCCTGTAATTCGGCATAGTATCGTACTATCAATATTGTATTGTTGGTTGGTTTGGTCAATGTAAATAAACCTGTTATTGTTACATGGATGGTAAGTTACTTCGCATCTTAGGATACTTGTTGCTGATGTTGGAGGCTCCTGGCACGAATAAAATTACTTTTCAGCCGGTAACTTGCTCATTACCTAAGACTATATTTAACACATTGTGGTTTTAATTGAAGGTATACAACCCCCTGGCGCCCAGATGTTAGAGGAGTTAAACCATCCCTTTCTACTCCATCTCTCGATGCAACCAGCTTTAATCAGGAATCTTTACTTTCTAAATCTACATCTACCCTGACCAACAGGTCATTAATAACACGACAAAACTGCATTATAATTTATTGTCATCAAAATAATAGAAATACACGTACTGAATATACGACATTAACAAAGCGACGCAGCTATGGGATCAAAAACTCCTTGAATTTCATCAAACGTGTCAAGAAATACAGCAGCAATATCAGAGTTAACAAACTTTTCCAGGTCAGCCAGACCGACATCCGGGCCAATTCCGTAGGCACTGATATCGATGTTGAAGATCATATTTGCATCAGATTGAGGATTAGTCGAGTTTCCGGTAGTTAGTAGTATTATTAGGTCCATGGTATCAGGCCGTCTATTGTTAAAAGCAGTGTCCTGGGCTGTACTTACACCAAACGAGGCATCACCAAGGCCACCTCGATTTACTAGTGCGCGGATTTTTGTTGCCAATGTATTGGGGTCACTTGGGGACAGAGGAATTATATCTTCATCAGGTTGAAAATTACCACTAAAAACTACAAGACCAACATATGCTGTCCTCGGGAAAACAACAAAACCTGAATCTGCTATCGCGTTTATCATCGTGGTGAAATTATCAGAAGTAACCGATGATGATCCATCCACAACAAAAACTACATCTATTGGTAAAGATTCACATTTTTTTGACGCTGAAATAGAAGTAGAATATAATGATAAATCTGGCTTTATTAAACCCGTGTAAATGAGAAAACTGAACAATATATGTCTATAGTGAATATGTAACAAAGTTCAGCAAGAGTATCGATGGTAATTGCTATCAAGAAGAGATAATAATTAAATGGTAAATATGATTACATGTATGATAATGATTAACGTATATTCCGAAGGTAATTGCGATCAGAAACACGTAGTGCAGAGGTAATTCGTTTAATGACAACGCAGTTGGCTTACTTACGTTGACAAACTAGGATATCGGTTTCCCATCGTCCTGATGCCAGACACGAGATCACAGTTTTACCACTTAGACGTTCATTTCCCTCATCACAAGTGTAGGTGGCATTGTTGGGAAATGTGCTATCACCATTAACAGTTCCCGTTGATAAAGTACCTTCTGGAGGAGGTCCACAATCTTTAGCTGAAAAAAGACAGTTGAAGTAAGCAATAGCTGTAAAGTCATAGCCTGGTAACCCCCTATATTCTGAGCGACTATAGCCCAGTTCGCTTCTAGAACTGTGGACAGCTCTGAGCGTGATACATGACCTTACCCTATGGCATCGGAATCTTTTGGTACTTGTAGCATTTTAAATCAAGGATAATTATACATGCTTAATGCCTTTACAGTCACTGTAGACGAGTTTACTTTAACGCTGTAAACAAGTCTTCTTTAAACTGGTTCTTGTTGTTGTTGAGATCTACTTGCAGGATGCAGGATAAGAAATACTCGTCTATTAACAACTATAATTTATTTACATTCAATAACTGGAGATCTACACTAATCCAAGAAGTATACCCAAGACTCTTAGAACGATCCGATCCTCTCCCCAGCTAAAGAATGAATGATCCAAACCCTAACTACCCTCCTATTTATCTCTCCCACTAGATGGCTAACATATGAAATATTTGTTTTGTAAAAAAAATCCCTTGCTGTTCCTGAACTCTAATAGCCATGCCTAACCGAGCATAAACGATTCATTTTCTTTTCCCCTATAATTTCTTAATCTCTCAGTGTCTCCTTCCCTGCCAAAATGGGATAGGTCTCCTTTGTATACGTACGTTCTGTTTCTGTTTCTAATTACTTACATAACCACCACGCCGATATTAATTGCAAAGTGTTGAAGATTACAGATTACCCCTATTTGATTATTACATGTTGAAGGCTACCCCCCGTGATTACTCCTATTTGACTATTACATGTTGAAGGCTACCCCCGTGATTACCCTTATAGTTTCTTCTGGACTAATGTAGATCTCTTACAACGATTAGCAATATTACACCACTGGCTTACTTAAGTTGACAGATTAGTACATCAGTTTCCCATTGTCCTGATGCCAGACACGAGATCTCAGTTTTATCACTTACACGTTCATGTCCCTCATCACAAGTGTAGGTGGCAGTGTTGGGAAATGTGCTACCACCATTAACAGTTCCCTGTGATAAAATACCTTGCGGAGGGTCTCCACAATCTTTAGCTGAGATATTTAGACATCAGAAAAACAATTCGTGATACAAGAAGAATGTATATAGCCTTGTTAAACTTGCCTAATCTTATTTTGGGTATATGGTGTCACTTACCTTGCTCCAGTGGCGGTGTCTACTCAATGAGACTGGGCTACAAATAGGGGACAGACTGACTTAGAGGAGGGACAACAGCTGGCGATGTTGAAGCGCGAAGACAAAAGAGTCCGACTGATTATATGAAAAATTTCTCCACAAGACAAAGAAAGAACTGATTTGGTGCCTTCTGACACATATTTTGTGTCAAAACGTACAAAAATCATTCTTCTAATTTTTTTAAAATTCAATTGGGGGATACAAACCATTTTTCTAATATTCCGTCAGTTAAGTATACGTTAGAATTATGTTTGTAGATTGTGACCCATTAGCAAGAATGAGATTCTTTGTTCTTCTGTCGTAATGCAATAAGTGACTAGATACTTACCTTGACAAACTAGAATATTAGCAACATCCCACTGGCCTGATGCTAGACATTTAATACTGAAATCACCACTTGCTACTTCATATCCTTCATTACAAGTGTAGTCTGCTTCGTTTGGGAATGTCGTACCACTTGCTGCAGTTCCTGTAGAAAAATTACCCGGTGGAACAGCTCCACAATCTATCGCTGAAATAGAAGTAGAATATAATAATAAGCCTGGACTTTTTTTATACCTGAAGATTAATTGAGAAGAACGAACAATATATAAAATCGAGCAAGAGTATCGATGGAAATTGCTATCAAGGCGAGGCAATATTGAGATGACTATACATATAGCTGATATTGGGCTCTATCAACTGGTAAAGTAAATATTGAGATGACTATACAAATAGCTGATATTGGGCTCTATTAACTGGTAAAGTAAATATTTAGATGACTTTACAAATAGTTTTAATTGAACTCTATCGGTAAAAAGTTGATACCAATATAAATAGCTATAATAGAGCTTTTTTCTATCTATAAAAGTATAGAGTACAGCTGGGAGTATCGGCGATATTTATGGCCGGAACACACGTGCCTCCATTTAAACATGGGGATTCACCTTCAATATCACAGACCCCTAGACCTGTCAAAACACAGAATGCCATTGAAATAATATTTTCAATCTAACTAAGAATGGAGCTCACGTTCATTTCTCCCTGTAAAGTATGTGTGGGTTTTTAAAACCAAGGAGTATTGAAATTTGCAACGCAATGTTTTGTGGCAAATTGCAATCTATTTGTCTTGCATTTTTTTGTACTAATTTCTTTTTCTACTTATAGTCGCAATGTCCAGTAAAAACTACAATGCCAGGTATGTTCTGACTTGATTATCTGTAATATCTTGTCGTTCGTTAGTGTTTAAATGTAAAATTTCGCCCATTCGGAAAGACATTATCTATCTATCATTTATCCACCGATTTTGATGGGCCTTTCTTGATATATTGTCTAGACAATGACAGTTTTTAACCTTGCACCTTGTATTGTGACGTTTGTTCCTGATTGTCAAAATTGAAAGTATATTTCCAAATTCTCGACTGATTGTGACGAAACTTAGTGAAATTGTTTATTATCACCCATCCTACTTTTCTGCACCTAGAGAACTAATGAAGACGGACTATGTCATGCAGTATGACATAGTCCGTCTTCATTAGCTCTCAAGGTTCATGGACGAAAGGACCGACATTTATACATGAACAAAATATCATATGCAAGGAACAAAAGCAAAACTCATTATTTTGAAGGAATTACATTCTTTCGAAATCAATTTGGTTTTTTGAATTTTTAAATAATTTAATTAAAATGAACAATTTCCCTCCCTTTCTCGCCTTTTTCCTCGCTTTTTTTACCCTCGCTTTCTCGCCTTTTTCCTCGCTCTTTTTACCCTCGCTTTCTCGCCTTTTTCCTCGCTTTTTTTACCCTCGCTTTCTCGCCTTTTTCCTCGCTTTTTTTACCCTCCCTTTCTCGCCTTTTTCCTCGCTTTTTTTACCCTCCCTTTCTCGCCTTTTTCCTCGCTTTTTTTACCCTCCCTTTCTCGCCTTTTCCTCGCTTTGTCGTCTCTCGACTTCTCGTAGGCAAGAAGTCGGGGGTAATATGGAAGCAGCGGACTTCCATATCTATAGTAATTGCACGTTGTTTAACCCGAAATACGGAATTTGTAAGATAGTCTACAAATTATTTTTTATATATGAATGAACATGACCTACAAAGTAAAACGATGACCAAGATCGAATCTGGAAGTAACATGAAGCCGTATTAGTATCAGTTCTTTTTCTTTTGGGGTGGGGGTTGTTTGTTGAGGTAGAAGTTTTAAGATTTATTTTAGATCGAACTTACTGCAATCTTCACCGGATGTTCCTGGTAGACAGTTACATTTCAATTTACCATCTTCTGCCACTAAGTTTCCACCATTTTGACATTCCGGAATTGGCTCTAATAATGATACAAATAAAGATTTACTCAAAAACATTTTTAATGGTAATGGTAAACAAAATACACGGGGACCGTAATTTTTTGTGCTGTCTTACAAAATTATCTATGATGTCTATCTGGTTCTTACTAAACTTTCTATGGTCTCTTACTAGACTGTCCATGGGATCTTACTAAACTGTCTATATCATCTTACTAAACTGTCTATGGTGTCTTATTAAACTGTCTATGGTGTCTTACTAAACTGTCTATGGTGTCTTACTAAATTGTATATGATGTCTTACTAAACTGTCTATGGTGTCCTACTAAATTGTCTCTGGTTTTTACTAAACTGTCTATGGTGTCTTACTAAACGATGGTGTCTTACTCAACTGTCTATTGGATCCTACTAAACTGTCTATGGTATCTTACTAAACTGTCTATGGTATCTTACTAAACTGTCTATGGGATATTACTAAACTGTCTATGGGATCTTACTTAACTGTCTATGGGATATTACTAAACTGTCTATGGGATCTTACTAAACTGTCTATGGTGTCTTATTAAACTGTCTATGGGATCTTACTAAACTGTCTATGGGATCTTACTTAACTGTCTATGGTGTCTTACTAAACTGTCTATGGTGTCTTACTAAAATGTATATGGTGTCTTACTAAACTGTCTATGGTGTCTTACTAAAATGTATATGATGTCTTACTAAACTGTCTATGGCGTCTTACTAAACTATCTATCGAATCTTATTTAACTGTTTAAAGCGTTCCCTGTATACTCTTCTATAAGCCTACTGAGATTTGTTGACCCATTAATTTTCCGGAATAGAAAATTCCGAGACTATAAAGATCCATACCTGAACAGAAATGTCCATGAAACCCAGTATAACATTGACATATTCCATCAACACATTTCCCGTTACAATTACAGTCTATCATGACACAGGGATCAGCTGAAATTGACAAAGTATCATGGGTGTATCTGTAAAGGGTTACAGGTCTGGCTTATTTAAAGAACAATTATCATCAACCCACGACAGTAACTACATTAATTGAGCTCAAAGTCCATTAAATCTCTGGATTTCTAGAAGGAGGAGGCGACAAAACATAGCGGCGGATTTGACTGCGACTGCAAAACGACAATCTGACATCTCATTTTCACTACAAAGCATCATTATTGTGTGTGGAAATGATTAGGCATATGGCTTATTATCAACTAGATGGTGTTTTTTTCCGACCACCAATCAGAAAATCTCATTTTCGCTACCAAGAAAACAAATATTAACAACTGTAGACAACTCCTGAGTAAATCCAGAGATTGAAAGTCGCCGCAAATCCAATTGCTGTCAGATGATGTCAGTAAGAAGTGTAATATTGTGGTCTTGACTAGTCTCTCCTTAACAAGAGTTACTTCCCATAAAGTTGGACAAATTTACCTGCTCCTACTGCTATATGGCAGGAAGTGGGCTTGGTAAAGAGTACAAAAGCAAGACTGAACTAACTGCTAGCTTTATCTTTATGAATACCTCCCTTGACTCATATTTACAAGTATAAGACTTACGGTTTGGGCAGGTGAAGTGTGTAACGATATATTTCACTATGGACCATTTCATACATGAACCATTAGTTATCTCGGGAAGATTGTATCTACTTCCAGCTTGATATCGATAGTATCTACCTCCAGCTTGATATCGATAGTATCTACCTCCAGCTTGATATCGATAGTATCTACGACCCCCTTGATATCGATAGTATCTACGATAGAATCCCTCTCCAACATCAATCAAAACAAGTACAACCAACACAGCAACAAGACAATGTAAACGCATGTTTATTTGTGACTAAAATTCCTGTAAAAAGAATTTATAGCATACATCATGTAAATTCACGAAAGCGCCGCGTTTTCATTTTTGAAATTGCCACGAACCTATTGCCACTGAGGGATCCGTGGCTGATAACTCCATGGCGGTCGAGGGGCCGAATCCCCCGTGGCTGAAGAGCATGGTGTGTTGTGAAAATCGCTTTCGTTATCTTATGTAAAATACGTTACGATGTTTTATCACGCAACAGTACTGTTCCTTTTTGTGTACACGCTCAACCTGATATGAAATTTATTAAGTATTGTTCCTGGGTTCATAACACGGGTTCATAAAAACAATATAAACAGGTTAATAACTATGCAAATGATGTAGGTCATGTATTCATGCGCCACGTACACAAAAGAATATGACATCCTTTGACACCTTTTTATTCTTAACAAAATTGTTCCAAATAACATAACTTTGATTAAAAGTTTCAATTTAATAATCACACGAATGTGTATACCTAGATATTATTTGTTACGCTTACAAGTAAATGATGTAGAAGGTGGAAAAAGGCTGACCTCAAAATAAAGGCAATCATCACTTATATAGACACAATACGTTGGATTTAAGAAAATATGCATTTATTGATAAATAACATCTTTTTTCGAACTTGCAAATTTAAACTGCAACAAATTTTCTATTATCAATATCTTCATTTTGTATGCATATTTCTTACCGTTTGGTCACCATCTTGTTACGTGATAACAAAGGACTCTTGGTCCTTTGCCAAGTAAATGTGACCTGTTTTTATAAATGTATTCACGATTTACTTGGCTTCAAATAGTATCTAAACACTAGTCATATACAATCTGGGTTAATGCATCGATCTAAGATTTATTCTTCGATCAAATTATAAATGATTTAAAATTTAATACAAAACTAGTTTGAAATTAGAATATTTTGTCTCTTTATAAATAACACTAATTTTTCAAATTTGATACAGCCAAGGGAATAAGAATTCTAATAGCTCGGTCATCCTTGTCACTAATAGCTAGTAAAATTTAACAATGCAAAATGTAAATCACAAGACCATGCCGTAAATGCCATGATAGTGGTGTATTTAAACCCCCTTTACTATATTCTGCAGACCCCCTATACTATTCGCAGACCTTCTTGGAAACTTTGAAACATTCTGACGGTCACTCCCCAAGAATTTTTTTTTACCACAACTACATCCTCATCATGAGATGCCTTGAACACTGTACCAAAGGCACCACTCCCAATTTCCTCTAGATTTGAAATCTCTTTCCACTTTAAGTTTGAAAATAGGAGTATATCACATGAACTTAAGCTTTGACAACATTGGTGTGATGTTATTACTTTATTTAACCTTGGAGTAATGACTGACTGGAGGAACATCGCCTCCCAACAAATAGATCAGCAGGGGCTAACCGATAGCGAATTCGAGATTGACCCCGTTGATATTGAGAACTTTGATGATGATTTTGACATCGAGGAAGTTTACTGTATATTCGGAGCTATTTGTCTGGAAGATCTAGATCTAAGTATTTGTTGCGGAAAATGCAGTAGAATTTGGTTCCATCGGAATTGCGTCGGGATATTAGCAGACAATATTTTTAATGAAGATGTTTTGATTTGCGAAAGTTGTACGACTAGTAATAATGAAGGTAAATAGGGGCCTACTATGTGGTAAACTATTTTTCCGCCATTTAATATTAAAATATAGATAGGTAAATTATTTAGTTAGCAATTTAAATTTTAATGTTATAATAAATTTGTATTTGTGAATCATTGAAATTAATTGAAATTAATACATTCAGTACCCAATCAGGTACTAGGCCTAAAAACAGGTGTAAATTTTCTGATTGTTTGAAAAATAGGAGCCTACTTTGTTCACTACCATTTAATATGCATTAGTTAGGTAAATTAAGTAAATTATTTAGGTTAATAAAAATTCTTAATTTGCTGGATACTTAGACCTAAAAATCAATTCTCCTCCATAAAAAGCTAACATTTGACTACGAATAACTTTGGTCCGCACGGTTCATTGAAAATGTGTCGTTTTCATTGAACTTTCATCTTTCGAATTATGGTTATGATTTATTCAGGTGATCTCCGGCACTAACATTAATTGATGTTTGAGTACACATACATCCTAAAATATCATAGAATTGTTCAAATCCAACAACTCATCGTCAAAATCTTAGTTTTCAATCGATTTTTAAAAAAAAAAATCAAGAAAACCGTTTTTCATGGTTTCAACTGCGCATGCATGTTGTTTAAACATAAAGGGTACGTTCGATTGCGCATCTCGGCTACAATCGTGGCCGCTACTGACATGGAATGGATCGAGTGGGTTGCTACGTAGGGTCAAGCGGGTTGCTACGTAGAGTCAAGCGGCACTGATTGTCGACGCACGCTATAGTTTTCTATAGGCGATGTTCCTCCAGTCAATCATTACTCCAAGATTTAACTTGTCCTCCTTAATCTTTCGGAAATATGCAGTTTTAAAAATAAGTGATTTAAATATTCATAAGGCCCCTTAAAGTTCCAATTAACGTAACAAAAAAATAAATTCTAATGTACAAATCCACAGCTTAAAGAAACAGCTTTAAAAAAATTATAAAAAAAACTCTAATTAGAGAAGATGTAAATATTACAAAGAATTTAGAAGATAATGTAACAGGTCATTCAGTCAAAAGGTGTTAATTTCACAAGTTTTAGTAGTAGTAGTTTACAACTACTGCAGTGTTATTATTTATAACTAAACAAAACAAAAAAAAAAGGAATTTTGAAAGCTCATAATAACATTAGACAAAAAATACAAATTCATAATTATATTAGTATATGTATATAAGTGTATGTATTGATAAAATTCTTTTTATATCGAGTATAATGTGAAAATTCCGCTGTTTAAAATGGCCTAGTAAAGATATTGTTCCATCAGTTTTAAAACATTGACAGTCTAGTCCCATTTATGGTTCACTCAATATAAATGCCGAGAACGTAAAATAGCTCGGAAACTGACAGATCTGTGTCAAACAGGTCTAGATTTGCTTTACTATAACATTTTTCTTGATCAAATTCTGCTGCGTGCCATATTGCAATATCAAAATTAGGTTTGTGGACCTTTGGAGAAATTTCGAATAAAAGACAATAGCATAGAGTGACGAGGAAGCGTGACCAGGCCTTGTCCTAGGCAGTAGCTGAAATAGGGGCACACGCCCGCCCCCTTTGTGCTTGAGTTTTAAGAGAAAAAACTATTATTAATGTATTTTTCTACATCTCAGTTCGCCACATTTTATCTGGGGTGCCGCAGTGGATCAGTGAGTTTGACCCTTGGTAGCTAACTTGACAGTTCAGGGTTCAGTCCATGCATTTTGGACCTTTTGGGGGCATGCCTATTCCTGTTAGTCCATGCCGCATTCGAATCGGGACTAGAATGCTGCTAGTTACCCTCGTATATTGAACGGGGATCGCTATATATATGAAATAGTTGTTGTTTCCGCTCAAATGAAGCAATGTCTATTTTTAGTATCAGAGCTACAAATTATTTCATCCAGTTTGTGAATCTATATTTTATAGTAAGTGGCTACTGCATAATTCTTTTTTTTACATGTATCATAATAAAACAACTAATTATTATTCATGAAATATTGTTATGAGTAGAATATTTTATTTTATAGTGGAAACTATTTTTTAATTTCACAGCGAATTGACCTCTACGTTATTCTACCAAATTAATATCAATCTTCAGACAGAGTTGTCTGTTCTTACCAATATTACTGTCTTCCTTTCATGGTTGAGTCAATGTTCAACTCACGGAAACTAACGAAAATTGGCGAAGGTTGAGCCGATTGCCTAAATGATAGTGGACCGATGTATGTCTCAAATGACTAGTCGATACTTAGGCAACCAGACCGACATGTACTAATCCCTTGAACTGGATTAATATTTTACTGGTTTACAGTATCAAATCGGAGAGATAAATATTGTCTATATGGACCCACTCCAGTAATTAATTTTATGCTAATGATTGTCCTTGCTATTTTTAAAAATCCTCTTTCTCCCTTCCTTTTGGGAAACACGGAGAGATAGTCATTGTCTATATACAGCAAGAACATCTTTCCCCTGAAGTCCATCCCAATGACCAACAAATCATAACAAAGTTTTCTACTTACGGTTTAGTTTGTGTTAGTTTCTGATATGTTGTCTCGATTTTCGCAGGGTTTATATTGCTAATGGTGAAACATAATTTGCTCGTAAAATTGTTAATTGCAAGAGTTGGCCAACCCACTTTAGAATGTTTTTGTTTACCAGATGCATAGCACATGGATATGGCGTGTGGGTTGTCCTGTTTTAACCACCGTGGGCGACTCGTGGGTGAGTAATCTGTTGGCACCTGAATACAGGATTAAAGTTCTCGGACGAACGCGTGGGATGATGAAACAACTTTAAGGGACTCTGGTAAAAATAGAAAGAGTGACGAAGACAACACATAAATAATTCTGACCACAAAAATTTGTGTCAAAGAAAGTTTCCTGTAGCTTTGAGTATCAAAAAGATGTTACAATCGAAGTATCAAAATTTCAATAACAAACAATAACAATAAATGGCAAACGTATAACTTCCGGTTAAGTCGTCAGATAAACCGGGTTGGAAAACTTACCAATGCAAACAGAAAACGGGAGTTCAATAGCATTCACATTAGTAGGGCGTGTGACCACCCAGAGCTTCAATACTCTCCGTTACACACAAAAAGTTAATTGTCCGATAAAGTCACGGGGGATTGCTCGCCGTTCTTCCCAGAGGGCCTGGCCAATATGCTGTGGGCGTTGTCGCTGACGAACACGACGGTCCATGATAACCTGAACATGTTCTATGGGGGACATGTCGAGGAAACCTGCCAAGGCGCGTTGATATTGTTGACTCCACGATTATGATTCTGTACAGGGTCTTGCGTTGTCATGCAAATACATGGTCCACCGTGTGGCTTTTGTTGGAGAAATGTCAGACGTTTATGTCATCGATTTAACGCTGGGTTATCAAGTTGTCCCATCCTTATCTTAGATGATGATGTTGAGTTGTGAATGACTATCCTCCGTTCGGTCTAGTTTCTATCACCCAGACTTCTGTGGTCTACAATAAGCGTACACACTAAGTTGAACTGGGGGATCGAGACTACGGCATGGTCGTTTAACGGAATGTTTTTTGGGTTTTTTTTTGTCGGAGCAAAATACTCGCAAACCTGCTTTTGTATCGGTGTTTCTACCGTTTATATCTGTTTTTTTATAACTGATCTGGTTTAATGTAACCAATCGAACCTGTGTTTGGGTTGAAAACTTTGTCAATAAAATACGAAAACTTTCCACGCCGAATTTTCTTTAAAGTATGGTGACCCATAAATGCCAAGTTTGATTCGATAGACTCAATCGGTTGTAAAGAAATGAACAAGCCCAGATTTATTGGGGGACAACCGAAGGTTCTTGCCCTGTGAGCACAGGTTCCACAATACCATTCCAGAGTTTGTTCCTACAAACGTTAATATTGTGTTTGGGCAATGTTATTTGGATGGATAAGTTTCGAACTTGTATATATTTCATTTTGTTAAAAATCACTTTTAAAGCGGTGAAGGCTCTTTTGACTTTTGGGTTTATTTAATTGACCAAAAACGAAACAAACACGAGGGCTTTGAAAAAAAATGATTGGTCTAATGAAGATAGACAACGCCATGCATTGTGCACTGATGGTAATTTTGCCAGGACAGCGGCATTAGCTTAATCTTTCCGATGTCCAGCTGTTGAGGGATCTTTAACGTGAACAGCCTATTAATCGCAGCTATTTGTGAACGGATTTAAATGCCGAACTTTTTGTGTGTCTAATACGTAGGTTTTCAACCACAGAGACATATCCCAAGGTTTGGGACATTTGCCCTTATTTTAGGGGACATCTGATGTGTCACAGCCAGTCACAGTCTAAGATTGCCAATGCCGTACGGTATCAAATGTCGAACTTTTTATGTGCCTAATGCAAATATAACAATCGGTACATCTGAAGATCGACATATAAACTAGGTCTAAGCCAAGTAATTTGTTCATGAGGTAAGGTTATTCTCAATCAGACATAGTTATACTTTCATCTATCAAAGGTATTTAGTATAGAATTCCCTTTGTTATTCTTACAATACAGATTATATATCACTCTCTTATCAAACTCTAGAGTTTACCAAAAGAATATCTAAAATAATAGAGGGTCTGTGTTAAAAAGAGGTTTTTGGTGCCCCCTTGAAGAATTGGGCGCCCCTTGACTTTCCGTTGCTGGTGGGACAAGTGTCCCCGACTAAATAGTCTAATAAATGTTTTTTAAACTGATCAGTATAACGTATGCAAAATATCATCAGAATAATATTGCAATGGTATACCGGTAGAGGAAAAACTACCATATCGTATTTTTTTCTCTTGATGAATAGTCATATCGCCTACGCACTGTGTAGGTATTGCTACGTGGAGAATCAAGAAGCAAAAAATTCGAAGCAAAAATCTGCAATTTAATTACATTGCGCAGGTTTACATTTACATTTTAAGGACATAAATTTCTAGTTTTAAGTTGGTGTTATTTTACTTTATTGGCAAACATAAATTATGGTGAATAGAAAACTAGAAATATTATCAATATAAGTTACTCAACATGTGCATATAAAATAAATATTATGAATTTCCTGTTATATTCCCTGAAGTAAAATTTCGTACATTATTGGAACTGATGGTTTGAGCTCATATTATATCCAATAAAATAGGCTACAATTTCTGGAAGGGAGGTTGTTTATTCCAAATGAATTCCTACGCTTGATAATCTTTAAATGACATTTAGAAGAAGAAATAACATAGTAAATAAATAACAACACTAATATGAATAAACTACTCCTTTCTTTTGGTCCAAAAGCAGACAAAACTACATGATAGAAAAACAAAATGAACAAAAAGAAAAACTCAAACACTACAACAAATGCAGAAAAACAGGGAGTAGAATAGATTCAGTGTTTAAAACAACAAGCACCATTCTCACAGTAGGAGTAATAGTGGTAACAGCTGTAACTGGTGGATTAATGCTTCTAGTAATTGTTCCAACTGTATTAGCAGCCTTCACGGCAATACAAACATCAACTTGTGGATTAATCACATTAGGCGTTAATAAAAAGAAAACATTAATCTTAAATGGATACCTAAATAAATTATTTATATTTTGTGAAAGATCTAAAAACATAACTATTGAGGAATTACAAGAATTTAATGAAATCTTAGACAAGTTTCACGTAGAGATGTCATCTGTAAAAGACAAAATAGAAAGTTAAAATTAAAACATAAGATAAGAATGGATAAAATCGAAATAATACAAGACGAGACATCCATAACAAATGTGCTATTTTCCAATGCTTTCCATCTCTAATATATTTATAAAATTTAGAGGACGGATAGAGTTCGATGGAGAGGTATATAAGCATGACGAAATGAAATACGTGGCCTGGAATGCCGAAGCTTATCATACATTCAGCAATCGTAGCTGAAAAATCTGGAGCTTCTGATTGGTATTTCACGGGAAAAATAATTTTACTTAGAGACAATTTCAAAAAATAAAATGATCAGAGATAATAAGGGCAGTGGGACAAGTCTACTTAAAAAAATAAACGCATATATAGGTGAAAATCGCTACATACCAACCAATAAACATTGCTTCATAAATTGTGTCAATCGTGTTTTGAACAAAGATTTAACAGTAAAGAGAGTTTTGCTAACAGAAAATCATTTACAACAGATGAAATGGATGAAATATGTAATATCTTAAAGGATTATAGTGAAACAAATCACAATAATATCATTGATTTATTTAAATCAAGCACAAAAGATAAAACGGAAGTTAATTCAAAAATTAAAAAATAAAATGCACTAAACTAATGGCATTTGATGCTAACGGTTTGTATGCCTCTGACATGTCAGATTTAATCAGCGAATATCTTAAAGCGGAAAGTGGAAGACCGTTTCTACCCGATGAAGAAGATGAATTTGTTTAGATATTTAATGAACAAATATTCAGATCTAGAACGGCTATTTTAAAGGTTCGGTTTGAATATCCTAAAAACATGTTCTTCCAACCGATACCAACTAAAGATAAGATAACTTTTAAGATCAGAGAAGGCGGTAGGGAATCTGGTATTAAAATCAGGTTTAGAAATGGGCTCTGTACAGATGTTTTAATGTCTGTTGACATTCAAGAAATAGTTAAAGCTGGTGGAAAAATAAAGAGAATATTAGGTATAGCATTTGAAGAAAAACTTCAAAACACCACCTTATAAGAGATTATATTTTAATTTTGAGAGACCTAAGAAATCAATGTACAAGAAAGAAGGCAATATCGTGGATAGTAATTGCATGAAATTATTAGGTAATTCCTTGTATGGTAAATCTAATCAGAAAGATATAACCACAACGAGATATTAATGGAATGAATTATCTTTAACAAAAAATTCACATGTAAAAAGCTTTCCTAAAGTAAATAGACCCAATATATCGTTGAGATAAATGAAGAAGAAAAAGAATTTGACTGTACACCTCCTAAATCTACACGACTAACACCTAGTCATTTGGGATCATTCGTATTATCTCATAGTAAAAAAACAATGAATAATTTTATTCTTGAAATAGATGGATTTTATAAACCTGAAATATACTATACTGATACTGATAGTTTATACATTTCGTCTAGCAATTGGGATAAATTAAATAAAGCTGGGTTGGTGTCCGAAAATGATTATTGTAAAAGAAAGAATGACTATGGAGATGGTGGAATTATTTTCGGTTTGTATTTAGCACCAAAAGTTAAATATAATATCAATTTGATTTCTGATGTTTTACAAGAAAAGAAAACGTTTAAGGGATACTCTAATGATAACATAACTGTAGAAGATTATATTAAATTAGCTAGCGGGCATGATGTGAAGAATGAGTTTAATAAAAGATGGGAAAAGAGTATTACTGATGGAATAGTTAATCCAGATGAAAAACAAACTAAAAAATTTAGAAGTTATTTGAATTTTGTGAAGGGAAAAGAACCAGATGATGAAGGAATCATGTGGCCTTACAACCACAAAGATAAGATGAATTTGATGATTTCGATTATCTTACAAATGTATCTAATGATGATGATCCGTTAGAGTAATTTCTTTTACCAAAATCTATAAACCTATTTTTACCATCTTTGATTTCCAGATTTATATCTTTAATCATAAAGGAATTAAGTGGTAAATAGGTTGTTTGAAATGGTTTCTCTACAATTCTATAACCAAAGGGAACTGTGAATGTAGGGATGCTGTAGATAATCTGACGTTTGTGCTTAATGAAAAATCCACCATTTATCAAATTGCAATGTATATTTATCACATCGATATCATTCTCGATATTAGCTTTGTGTTGGTGCTAATGTTGATTCATTATTTGAATTTGAATATTAATTAACCGTTTTCGTCTAACCCACTGCTTGCAAGATGTTTTTCTCCAGGATATCTTGCCCACGGAAAACCAGGACAAGAGCCCAATGATTTTTGTATATCTGAACCAAAATAAGTTTTGGAGTGTGAGCGACTATCATTTTTATCCTATGACTTTAAACCTTTTCCTTTCTTTTCTTCTAATCTGCTGTTTCGTAGTTCTCTTTTTGTGGTAATTCTTTCAACTCGTTGCTTATACTAACTCCTGCTTTGGCTTCGGATGAAATAAGTGATTTGTTGTTTGAAACAAAGCTGGCTACTTTTGGATTTAGAGAAGTTAGTGCTGAGATGAAACTATCTCCTCTATAATCTGTTCTATATCTTTCCCCTTCGTGTTGTTTTATTAGAGTCATCCTATTTTTAAATGAGTTAATTTGAAGATAAAAAATGTAGGGTATATAGGTCTTTTTGGGGGGGGAACTTATGGATTGGAAGCATTTTTCCCATGGAATTAAATGAAATGGGGAAAAGTGCTTCCAATCCATAAGTTCATATACTATTCACGTTTTAAGACGTCACTCCTGGAAGCTTCTATTGATATATATATGCAGTTCCCCTCTAGTGATAAAACGCCCTAGTTTTAGTGGAATTGCAAGAACAACAGACGTCGGAATGGAAATTGAAATGGTGCAAATTGATGCTACCATTGTCCCCAATACACATAAAAAAGTTTAAAAACCTTTTAAAAATCTTTTTAACCCTGATCTTTATACATTACACCAAATGTTTACTACATAATGCACAATCAGTATTTTAAAAAGGAAAAATTATTTCGGCACCTGATCTATTTCACTTCTACATTGATGATTTCTGATTTATTTATATGTTACTTTGCCTAATCATTCAATTATATTTGCTATTTTCGTTGGTAAAACTATCATAACACAAAATGTCAAAATAAATTGACTTTTGCAATACAGTGGTGTAACCTATTTTCGTGCATATAAGGATTTAACACCGAATTTCGTCAAAGTTAAAAAAACAGAATTTTTTTTTTACGACTTAAGATGTTTCCTCAGATATTCTACAAAATAATTAAAATTGGTTTGTTTCGATTTTCTTTATGAATCCTTCACTTTGACCCATATTTCATGAGCAACCAACTCGACAACGGCGGCAAAATGCGTCACCTATTTTCGTGTACAATGTTTGATCAATAAATAGGTCGAGAAAAACACGTTGTATGGATACCAAGGGATTTAATTAACTTCTCTCAGTATTTAACTTTAATATCAATTCATTATAACTAGTGACAATTCCTTCAAAAAACAATGATTAGGTAAAACAAAAAATAGTTACTGACAAAATGAAATACGTGGCCCACATTGTGTTCCATAGAATTTTTCTGCTGACACGGAATCCGCTAGTTCATCACGTGACTTCATTCGTTGGACTACATTCTAGCAGATGACACTTGGAATTCCGATTATTGCTTGGGATTATAAGGAAATTAGGTTGATTGCAACGTGTGGTAATAACTGAAATCCGCCATTTTGTATTTGTCAAAGTATACGTTAATTTATTTTACCTTGTTTGAAACTACTGGATTCATTCTACTAGCTGACATTGTACAGATAACTCATGTTTATCAAAATAAGCAAATGCAGAGATCACGCAAGGTCGCACATGCCAATTATTAATCATTTTCGGGGATGCACGAAAAATAGGTTGGCACGAAATAAGGTTACTTGATTGTAATAGCCTAGACCTGTAATTTTTTCATATTTTAGGATCCGCCAATTTTCCTAACGTAGAGAATTACCCAGTTACTGACTCTGTGGATAGGTAAAAACTCTATTATGAACACATGAAAATGCAAAGATAGTTGTAAAAAATAACAGTGATATTTCTATTAAAAGTATTAGAAATTCCTTACCTGATGAGTGAGTTATGCCTTATGGCATGGATTGTTTAAAACGTCAGACATATCGTGGAAATCTCCAAATTTGCAAATCATTTCTAGTGTACATTCCCCAGCTGTGTACCAGCCGAAATGACACTCTGCGACATTAGAGAGCTTACGGCGAATCATTCTTCATTTTTTTGTGCCATCTCGATTTGTGAAAGAAACCAATGTAAACATTCAGAATGTTACATTGGGAGTTACCTGCCCTTGTTTTGGGAGTAAAAATTCTTTAACAGTCACGTGGTGGTCGTATAAAATTGATCTGACAAAAGCGAAATGACAAAAGAGAAGATGCATCGTACAATTGTTAAGTGTAAAAGTGTAAAACAGAAGATGTTTTTCCTTCGTATTTTTCAAAATGAATAAGTGGTTTCATCATTGCCTTTTCTCATTCGGTGCTGATTATTACTGGTTGCTGGTGACAGGGTAAACAATTCGAGAATCAAATGGCCCAACGGCAGTGGAAAGTGTTTTTGGTTGGCTTATATCCGGCCCTGATAATTCTCCGCCCGACAAACATGTAATTTCAAATCTTATCATCAGCGGCTCTGCCGACCCTCAAAGTACTGAGGAATCTAATATGGAATTAATCGATGATTTGAAAACATTCTGGGATACTGAGGCAATCGGCATATCAGATAAACCTACCCAACTGGAATAATGTTTTTGAAAGATATTACAAAGTTGAGAATAGGCTATGATGGTTCCGCTAAGTCAGAGCCTGCTCCAATTTCTCTCAACAATTGCTCAGACAAAGGACCAAATCCGAGACTACTTATATTCGACGTTTTAACCAACTTTCGATCTAAACCAGTAGGATTAATCGCCGATATCGAAAAAGCGTTTCACCAAATCATCATTCATTTAAATGATCGAGACATGCTCGATTTCTATGGTTTAACGATATAGACAACGATGATCCAGAAATAGTTTAATATAGATTCCAACGATTAGTCTTCGGATTGATTTCCAGTTCAGCAATCTTAAACTGTGTGATCAATCATCATGTGGCAAAAGTAGATTACCAAAACAGTGATTTTATCAGGCAACTTTCAGACTCTTCATATGTTGATGACTCCTCTTGAGGTACCTGCTCCACAGAGGAAGGATTGGAACTTTACAAACCATCAAAACAAATAATCAAAGACGGTGGATTCAATTTGCGAAAATGGATTGTAACTCGAGAAACAATCAACGCCTGTGAAGATCCATGAAATCTAGACTCAAGTCAAGCACAATCAGAATCCAAAATATTAGGATTAACATGGAACATAATTGAAGATGAATTTCGTTTCGACTTGAACGAAGTTTTAGATTACATTAAGACACTCCAGCCTACAAAGAGACCTATACTCAAAGTATCGTCAACGATTTTCGGCATAATTTGAAGATACGGATTCCACGATGTCTTCCTCCTACAGAATTGAAACCAATATTTTCCGAACTTCATGGCTTCAGCGACGGACCAGAAAAGGCGTATGCCGCAGTGGTATATTTCAGAACAGTTTTTGACAACGGAGATGTCAACAAATATGAAAATCCATTTCATCTGATAATATCACAGAAGCTCAAAACCTTTGGGTGAAGCAACTTCAATCGACTGTTTTATTAGAAGAACTTTCTAGCTTACAATTTGGTCTGTTTCTTGACATCCTCATTCTTCAATGTCAAGGACAAATAGAAAAATCCGTTTAACGAGTAAATTCAGTAAACATCCCATCTTTTTACCAGCATATCATCATTTTACAAGACTCATCATCCAACACAGGTTTAAATTTTGCAGACCCACTATTTCGGATCTTAATACTACGTTCAAAACGTACGTGTGCTTATTTACCTGCTCATCTACCAGAACTGTTTATTTCGAGCTCACAACAGATTAAATGTCAACTCCTTTCTTCAAGATTTTAGATGTTTTGCAAGTCAACGCGGACTGCCAACTCAACTTTTGTCTGACAACGCAAAGACTTTTAGAGCAGCAGCCAAAGAAGTCGTCAAAATAGTCCGATCGGATAATCAATAAACAAGTTTCATGGGACAACATCGTTGAAAAGGCACCTTGGTGAGGTGGCTAGAGATTAGTGCGGAGCCTAAAGCGATGTATGAAAAAAACCATTGGTAGTTCATCTTTAACTTTCATCACCGAAATAGACACAACACTCAACAATCGCCCAATCACCTACGTATACGACGACAAGCCAAATGTCATTTTAGGCTCTTAGATAATTTCTGTAAACTTTGGCAAAAAGAATATATTTTGAGCCTACAAGAGACTACTACAAAACAGTAGTATATGTCTTTTCAGATATTGCGCATCCAGTTTGATCCGGTTTTGAGATGGCAGGTATATGTCTTTTCGGATATGACGCATTTCACTTCTGCGCATGCGCAGCTTTTTCATGCGTCATATCCGAAAAGACACAACTGTTAAAATGTATTATAACAGACTCCCCAAACTGTTAAAATGTCTTATAACAGACTCCCCAAAACTGTTAAAATGTATTATAACAGAGTCCCCCAAACTTTTAAAAATGTATTATAACAGACTCCCCAAACTGTTAAAAATGTATTATAACAGACTCCTCTAACTGTTAAAAAACTGTATTATAACAGACTCCTCCAAACTGTATTATAACAGACTCCATATAAATTACCCAAACCACAGACAAGAATCACTATAATAATACAGTATAAAATAACCGCATTAAAAAATAAAGATGTCTTTAATTTTAAAACACGAACAAAAAAAATTCGAAGGAGA